CTTTTATCAGCTGAAGTGCATGGTGGGATTGGGGGCAAGAGTGTCCCAGTCGTTTAAGGTGCTGCAATTCGCTGTGCAAAGTTGCCTCCCTTAGGCCTGTAACCAGAAAACAAGGGTTACTGCCAGGAACCAGTGATTGTGGGTTCAAATCCCGGTTCATCAGTTATGTTTCTTGGTTTGTCGGCACCCCTAAGTCCCGGGTTTGATTCTCCAGATGGGTACAGTATGTGAAACCCGTTTCTGGTGTCCCCTGTTGTGATATTGCTGGAATATTGCTAAAAGTGACATTAGGCTCTTGCTGGAGTTGATACAGAAAACATTTTGATTTTTATGACACTCTCATAACCACCATAACATGCTTGCACGATTTGCTAAGATTCATAAGTAAATCGCAAAATTAATACCAGCACATCTTTTTGGTTTATCCCCACTAAATCAGTCCCTCATATGTGACCATTTGCATAGATTTTAGTTGGTTTGCAATTATGTTTCTTTAGTACATATTGGTTAACCCTTGATGATAAAAGTTTCACATTATTTATGACATGTTAAGTTAAAGATATATTTTAGTATTGGTGGCTGAAACAGGAAATATGATTATCAAAATTATTATTTTATGACAAGAAATTGATGTGGACAGAAACTTGGTCAATAATCTGGCCTAATATCGACTCTCCACTAGTCTCAGTCTCAAACAATCAGATCAGATACCTCTCCAATACCATGCCTCTCTGCATCAAGATCTGAGGACACTACATTTCTGGTGTCCCCCGCCGTGATATTGCTGGAATATTGCTAAAAGCGGCGTAAAACCAAACTCACTCACTCACTCACTCACTCTGAGGACACTGCCATAGGAGGTCGGGGTACAAGTGGCCAAGCTGTCTAAGGCGCAGAAATCCGCTGTGCAGAGTTACATCCCTTGGGCACACCAGAAATCTATGATTGTGGGTTCGAGAGTCAGTTCACCTCAATGATGTTTCTAGATTTGTCAGCACCATACCCGTGCTCATGGGTTTCATCAAAGTGGTAAATGTCTGAGACCCCACTTCGGGCTTTCCTTCCACATTAAGCTGACATGCCGTGATATAACTGGAATACTGTGAAAAGCGGCATTAAACCCAACTCACTCACTCTTGGCTGATTAGAAAGTCCACCTGACACAGCCTCCTTTGGAAGTGTTTTGATATCTTCACTCAGAGGAATCGTATCAGAGTAAAAGAACTGATTATAATAAGATTGCTCTTGTCTCAGTATATTTCGACAATCACTAGGACTTTGAGTCAAGAGGGTTTACTAATTCTGATTTCTTTCAGCTGTGAATGATTGGAATATTTGGTTAATTGTGATTTCATTTTAGATGAAAGCAAATATGTTAATTTGAAGCAGTAATAATGTGTTCAGAATATGCATTTATGGCATTTGTCCAAGCCTGAATAGAATCGCCCCGAAACAGTTGTGCATAGCTATTTATCTTCCTGTACATTTATTTCAATTACCTTATTCGACGTAATAAGCGCCCCGCTCTTATAAGCACCCACTTGTGAACAATCCCCATTGCACCCCTTCCCATTGATCAATGTACACAAGACTTATTTATTCGTGAAAAAAATGCAGTTGTGTGTTATATGCACCCTTAATTATTGGCAAGTAAATTCTGGAAAATTATATCTGTCATATATAAACATTTCAGGCTGTCAGCATAAACCACGAAATTTACGATCTTTCAACTCTGGTTTTTTTTCCACCAAAATAATATTCTAATAAGAGCCCCCAATTTCTAATTTTGAGAGCGCCCTGGGTGCTTATTACGTCGAATACGGTATTCCCAAAGATGATTTGTGGTTTTGGTATTTAAACTTTTTCATCGTTGTATGGATGTTGTACATACCTTAAAGTTCTCTCCATGTAAATATATTTTTTGCACATTTGTTTCCATTGGCTGTGCTTTCCATGTATGAGTTTGTTAGTGGTCCTCAACTTGCTTTGACTGAGTTATCCCCCTTGTTTTCGCTAAGACTGTCATAATTCCTGAACTTTACCATTGACTTGTGACACAGGCCATATACTGATATGGCAGTCATAGCATAGACTGCTCTGTTTCTTCTAAAAGGAGCTTATTTAAGTAATTTAAGGACTGCAAGTCCAGATTGAAATGTTTTCTTCAGAATAGTCTTGAAATATTTGTGTCAAGTATGTCATCTGCTGCGTCTTGTACTTGCATCTGGCGCATGGGACGTAGTCAAGGCCTTACTGACTGCAGCTTAAAGCATGCTTTTGTAACACTGGAATTTCTTTTTTCTTAAGAGATGATTTGAGATTTTGTGGATTAGACTTCATTAGAGTTACCATAATGAATGAGATTTGAAGGAAATTGTTAGTTCGTTAAAATGGTTTTAGAAGTGATTAAATTACATTTTATTCATTGTTTAATTGAAAGCAGAAATATGAATGCAAATTGATCAAATCCAGTCCAAGTCATGATTATAGTTTAACTGTTTTGAATCGATTATCCTAAACATGACATTTGGCATTATTTACAGTTCAGTTTAATATTATAAATAGAATGTTATTAGCTAGGTTTTAACTTGACGTAAAGAATTTCACTACAATGAGACTTTGGGGCCGCTGCTTTTTCAAGGACTGAATATGAACCCAGTAAACCAGGATAGAATTTTTAAAAACATTTATTATTGCAAAACTGTTAGACAAAGATGGTCGTCTGTCAGAAGTTGAAGGTGCTATGTCCATTTCTTCCTTTAATAGTTTTATAGGTGGACATGTTGTTGCAAATGTTGTTCATTTTTTCAACTTAGATGGTCTTAAATTTGGAGGTTAGTGTGCTGTTCAAAAGTTCCATCTCGGATAAGCATCTTTATTAAGCTGAGCTTTCTAGACTGAAGAGAATACTACACTCAACTGCTCATGCGTTTCATATTTTTACTTCCATCTCCTCGGTCAACTGGGGCACGGGTGGCCCAGTCGTCCAAGGCGCCACAATTCGCTGTGCAGAGTTGTGTCCCTTGAGCACGCCAGAAACCTATGATTGTCGGTTCGATCCCGGTTCGCCCTGATTATGTTTCTAGGTTTGACAGCACCATACCCGGGCTCGTGGGTTTCCCCTAAGTGGTAAAAGTCTGAGACCTGCATCTCTTCGGGCTTTCCTTCCACATAAAGCTGACATGCCACGATATAACTGGAATATTGTTAAAAGCGGCGTTAAACCGAACTCACTCACTCACTCCCCAGTCATCTTGACAGACATTTGAACTGGAAAGTTCTGCTGCACCACCAGATTAGATCATTGTGAAGTAGGTGCACTAGCTAATGCTTAGGAGTAGCTGGTTATACATCCCATCTTTGAGGATCTTAACATGTTTTCAGTGTAGTTTTGTAGGGGTAGGTAATTGGAATTATTTTTTTATCCTACATGGAACTTTTGAACTGCTTCCTTGTTATCATCCTCGATTATCCAGGGTGTTTTATCCCCATTTTATTAGATTAATACCCTCGACCCTTTTGCCACCATAGCTTCATGTTGGAAGTGACATAACCAGGTCCATCTCTCTTCTCAGCAACTTAGCACAGAATTAATCTCGCTCATGAGCTTGAAATCAACCAATGTTGATTCTTAACACATCTACCTTCAAAATAGCAGCTTCATCCAAGCGAGCATTTGATGTATATAGACGTAGGTCCAGGGGGCGGTCCGGTTATATTTGCAAAGTCACAAAAAAGTTGAAACAAGTTCTGGTGATTCATGAGCGAAACAAGAAGCCGTAAGAACAGTTTCATTTGACTGGACGTCTATTTTTAGTGTCATGTCTTTCAAACTGTCACAAAACGAAGTTAAGGTTGAGATTAGGTCCAGGGTACACATCACAATAAAATGGTGATATGATACGCTAGATAATCAAGGATGCATTATGAATATATTTTCTAGGCACGGCCTAGTGATTCGATTGTGTAGCATAATCTGGTTTGTTTGACATTGCAGATGAATTAGCATGGTTTATGAAGTGTAGATACCATATGGCTGTACATTTATACTTGCATGTATATGGACTGGTTGGTAAGAATGTCTATGTTTTGAGAGCTGTTCAATTTGTTGTATGTTTTTTCACAGTTTATATATATATATATATATATACATCAATTGATTGACACAATGTACATATTGTACAAAGGGAATAAAGTATTCATCTACTTCAAAACACCTGTCTGTCTTATGTCGTACTAGCATGAACAGTTGAATTTACCGACTACATGTGTCTGCCCGGAAAACAGAAGGTCGGTGGATCAATTCCCCTGGCCATGTGATACCTAAAGATGTCAAAGATGGTACTTGTTCATTCCCTGCCTGGTGCTTGGAGATGAAGCAAGGAATGGTCAGCTCAGGGTCAGTACGTTGGTGGTGTGACAGATTTGTTTTCCTTTGTTTGACTGCTCTTGATGCACTTTGTAGTTGAAACCATTAGTGCTTGGTCAGTTACTTTGCTTTTAGAAATACTCCAGCAATATCACGGCAGGGGACACCAGAAATGGGCTTCACATATTGTACCAATGTCTGGAATCGAACCCGGTTCTTCAGCGAGACGAGCAAACGCTTTAACCACTAGGCTACCCGACCGCTCCCATCTGTGCTTGGACATCTCAATGATATCATATGTACAATTCTTTAATACAATGATGTGTCAATACTCAAGCTCATAACCTGAAAAGATTTTGTTTAACACCTCTGGAGAAGGATTTACTGAAGATCAAGCTTCCGTAATCTTGTATGAGGTTGCTGTAGGCATGCATTTAACCACAGCAAGGATAATGGTATGACACTGGAAAGGTATGTAATGAGTCCTTGGGCTACCTTGCTTCTTGCAAGTATTAGCAAACACTTTTCTAGTTTCGTTCTCATTTTCACCTACCAAAGTTAAAATATCAACGATTATTGAACTGAAGAACCTTTAAATGCACGACCACTGAAATCAATGACAAGATACAAATTCTTCAAAACATTTAATTTAAAGTATCAAAAGTACATCCAAAGATATTCATACACACATCTGTACTAGATCTGACCAACATATACAAAATAATCTATCAAAAAGCTCTGCTGTAAATACTCTTCATGTATTTGAAGTCTAGAAGAAACAAAAATTTCAGATTGTGTATTTACAATAATTATTTGTTGAGATTTTGAATGGATTCCTCACAAGGCTTGTTATTTGTCAAATGTTAACATGGTGAGTCATCATGGTAAATTTGACCAACCAAAAGCAACTTTTACATAGTAAGCCCCTTTGGATGATATTCCAGTTATATCCCTGGGCGTCGCCACAATGTGGGATGAGAGAAGGTGATTCCATTCATAGATGTTTACCACTTTTGTAAAACACAGACCATGAATTTGAAGGCAAATCTAAGATTCTGACATGCAGATCCTGGTACAACAAAGGGACATTACTCAAAAAGAGCTTGCAATAACAGTAAAATGTATTGGAGATGTCTAACAGCAAAATGTTAGTAAGAATACCAGTGGAGACATGTTGTGGAGATGTAAATAAAGCAAGCACGGAAATTCAATAATTTTTTGGACTTTGAGTGATGGTAGTAACAGTATTGCCAGAACATGTCACCTTCTATGTGGAGAAACTAAACAACTAACAATCATGTCAAAAGAATTGCATACAATGCTAACAAGAGATCACTGCCCTTGTCATAAATCTTTATCAAGTTTTCTCATATTCTCACACACAGAAATCCACAGCTGCACACAAATAGACACATAAGTTTTCACAACCCCTGTATCATACAAGGCCGAAGCATATAGTGGTAACCAAAAAATACATTTTTAGTTGTGTACAGGTATAAATACCTGTGCTTGAAATAAGTACAAATTGCAGAGAAACACATGGCAGCAACATTGGTGTGAGAATGAGGTATCATATATCCAGGGTTTGCCCTAGGCTCTTAAAACTGGGGGCCATTATGACTCCTTAGCTGAACTATAGGGAGTCATATGTTTTTCGAAGGGGGTCATTTTAACAAAATACTAATTGATGTTAGATTCCGTAATGAATTCAATTTGTAATACGGCGATATTTGCTGATATATTGGATAGTGAACAAACCCCTTCCGATTGATCAGTGTACACAAGACTTATTTATTCGTGTATAATACGTTAGTTATAGGCATCCTTATTTATTGGCAATTAAATTCTGGAAAAATATCTGTCATATATAAACAATTTCGGCCTGTCAGCATAAACCACGAAATGTACGATCTTGCAACTCTTTTTTTTTTCACCAAAATAATATTTAAATAAGAGCCCCCTATTTCTAATTTTCAGAGCGCCTTGGCTCTTATTATGTCGAATACGGTATTATCTTGTTTCTCTAATCAAGCTGTTAAAATTATGTTTTAAGTACTTATCTACTCTCTTTACAGATGTCAATCTAATTACATGAAATTTGTAATGTCCAATGTTTGTTATTATATTCGCAGATAACGGATTGATATAGACTGATAAAGGTGACAGTGACTGACAGGAAATACAACCACCCCACTAGGCAACTATTGAAACTTCATTCTCATTGGCTGCAATCGAGAGCTTGCCAGTAGGGCTGTTCCATTTTTAGATATTAGGTTTACCAACATTAGGTGAAGCTGACATCGGTCATATTTTATTGTCAAGGGATATGTCCATTTTAATTAATTGTGCAAAACTGACTGACGCAATGGAGATAATATTACGTATTTTCTCTTTAGATTATGTCAAATACACAGGTTTTCTGCGTCGGGTAAACCCTGCATATATCCCCATTTTAGATAACAACAAGCAGAAGGCATGGGCCAACATGTCTTACACATCCAACATGGTATACGTTTGTTTAATATTTTTTACAGTTTGCTGAGGAAAACTGTGTACAGGTGCTGTCACTGGCCGTCTCCTTGTAGCCTTGAGATTTGTCAAGTCCAGCCCCTTCAAGAAAAAAAACAAAAAGTTAGAACAATGATAATAGGTGGTGAGGTGAAATGGGGTTTAACGTCGCGTCAAAGATTATTGCACTTATATAGCGACGTGCATGCACGTGTATGTGTGTGTGTGTCTGCTTGTACTAGTCCAGACTGATGCCGATTTATAGTGCTAGCACACTGAGATACCATGCCGCAGTTTAACATGAATACCCCACTCAGACACAGTATACTGACACTGAGCCGACCAGTCCTTGTTTTAGCCCCTTAATGCCGAGCACCAGACAGGGTAACAACAAGTACCATTTTTTAACATCTTTTGGTATGATGCGGCTGGGAATTGAACCCCGGACCTTCCGCTCTCCGGGCGGATGCTCTACCATTAGACCAAATGATAATAGGTAAAGTTGTATGAGATGATGATGGTTAAATCAGGTACCCGCATTGGGGTGAGGTGAAAAAGTTAATGTCACATTCAAGTTTACTGTACTCACATAGCGACAAGCATGCACGTGTGTGAGTGGCTGCTTGTACAAGTCTGGACTTTATAGAGCTATTATAACAGGGATACCCCATCAGACACAGTATACTGACTAGGGCTGGGACGAGTCCAAATTTACTACCTGAGTACCCATCCCGCTATTACCCGACCCTACCTGGGTACCCACTGTTGGTCTGCATACTGAAGTTGACTGAAGTTAAATCTTTATTCAAACATATAAAGTCAGAAGGAATGCGTGCAGAGTCAGAAAGAAATGCAAACATTAGTCACTTATAGTGTAACCGTGGAAGTTCTAGATAATGCTTGCCATTAAACAATATATCACATGACTAACCATGGGTCGGATTAGTCCTGTGGGTATCTGGGTCCTACTCAGGAACCACCCAACCCACCGGGTACCCGAGTTACCTGTCCCAACCCTAATACTGACCCAAAGCCAACCAGTCCTTGTTTTATCCCCTTTTGCCGAGCTCCTGGCAGGGTAACAGACTTCTACACCTTGGAGATGTGGTTGGTAACTGCCATGTGTTTTATATCTTATTATTAACTCCTATGAATGAGTGATTGAGTTACAAGATTCAGTCCTTATCTTTGCGGCCTGCAAGTTTGGGTGACCCTAAGTCTCATTAGTTGCTATGTACTTATATGTTTGTATGTTGTTTAACGCCGCACTCAGCAATAATTCTAGCTATATGACAGCAGTCTGTAAATAACTGAGTTTGGACCAGACAATCCAGTGACTGACATCATGACCATAATTCTACACAATTGGGATACAACAACATACATCAACAAAGTAAGTGAGGCTGACCACCTAATCCCGTTAGTGGCCTCTTACAACAAGCATGGGCTGCTGAAGACAATGATTAACAACAAACAAGGGATACTGGGAGACATTGTTAACAGGCATTGCAAACTGTTTTCACTGGAATATCTAAGCAGGAATCGTTTCCTTCAAAAGTGAAATACCGTATTCGCCATATTAAGAGCCCTGCTCTAATAAGCGCTTCCTGACACAATTCTAGACCAACCTGTAAGTAATCTTTGTAAGCACCCCCTACAAAGACTGAAACTCTACATGACAGTCCATTTTTTTGTGTGTATATTACATATCTTTTTTGTTTAACATAAAATAGTGGCGTAAGGGGTATATAATTGTCTATTCACTATCATCAAAACCTTTTTTGTTTCATCAATATTCAAACTAATTTGTCCACAACTGCTCAATCTATGAAAACAACAATAACTTGTGTATTGTTTTAATAATCATCCCCTTTGTCAATTATCTGAACGCTTAGGTACTTATTACAGCGAATACGGTAGGATGCTATGTTACAGCGTACCGACAATGAGGTTGTGGAGATTGCAGTAGTTTGTGCCGAAGTCAAGGACAGCATACCAGGTCTCTGACGTGCTGTCTCCCTGGGAATAAATGGACAGGTGATATATATAATTCTGGTATAGGTATACAATGCTTATCATTTGTATTTATTGTATACTGAAACACTTTAAAACACATATTCAAAACTTTGTAATGTTCGACAAAATGGCCACAAAAATCAAATTAAGTTGTTCTGTGTATTTAGGCATGAGATAATCAAACGATGTCATCTTGACACACTGTAATCATTGGAAATTAAGATGAGGGTATAAAATAATCACAGCTACATTCCACAACAGAGTCCAGAAAATATTAACTTGAGGAAGGTGAATCCTAAAATTACCAAGGTCATCTTAAAGGAGATCTATTGCAAAAAGACTTATTAAAACATGTTCAATAGTCTTACAAAATACATATTTACACCAAAAAAAGAATCATGTGATTTCATTGTTATCTAAAAAGCAACAAACAACTACCCTGATCCCACAACCGACACGTATGCATACTGAAATCCCATCTAGAGGCCTAGTTGTAGCTGTGATGTCACAGTGGATAGACGTCTGCCATTTTGTTTTGTATACAGTGCATTAATCTACATGACAATGAAGTGAATTTCTGTTATTCTCGGCATATTGAAGTCGCAAAATTGGGTATTTTGTGGGCGTAGGGGTGTACTAGTTCATCAAACAAAAGAATTTTTTTGAGTGCCATTTCTTGAAATTTCCAACCGAAAAGGCCGATTTAGTGAGGGGATAGTTTAGGTAAAGTGATGTCAGCGAGGAGGGAAATAAAATTGACTGGACATGACATTTTTTGTTTCTTGCATTTTGAGGCATCTGTCTATGAGAGAGATCCACACAAACTCAACAACCTTTGTTACGAAAATAAATTTAGCATTCATTGTTACATTTAATCCATGACTGGCTACCCTTGTACAACAATTGTAAGTCTATTTGGAGGCACCACACGACTTCCAGATCTTGTGGTAGCAGTCACAACGGTAGACGATGTAGTGTTTGTACATATTATAATAACTGTTTACACGGCAGTATTTAGTGAACCAACCATCACTAGACAATACAATTTTAACACATAACATTCATTTGTATAGAAAACATATTTAGCTTAAATAGCCCTATGCTAATTGTTTGCCATAAAGACAACACTATTAACAATGTGTCGACAATGCTAGGTGTCAATCTACACCTGGCACATTTTAGACAAGAAGAACTGTCTTACAAATTATTTTGTATTGACAAACATCCATTTTGTTTAGAAATTTCAGGATAGCGTTAACCATGAAAATGTGTTACCAAGTCTTTCTTTATTTACATCAGACTGATTTTCTTCAATTGGTAGATCTTCCTCGCTTTCCTCGCTGCTGTCAAGACTACTTTGATTAACCACTGGCTCATATCGATATGGGCGAATATGTGTAAGGACATAGAGTGAAAACTCAATGTTTTCATCGACAGCAATGTCAGGCGATGCCATAACTAACGCTAGCTAATCTACCAAACACTATAAAGAAACAGTGATCGTCTGCAAGTCAAGTCTCCACTATGACGTCATGTCACATGATGAAAACGTTTAACTTTTTTTTTCACAAATATTGCCTTTAGAATTTTTTCTTCAAAATACCTGTTTTAATATGCCTCATAAATGATGTAGTTTACTGTAAATCCCCTTTAAGCAACCTTCAAATCAGTACTTACATTGACATTGCAGACGTTGGTGGCCTGTGAAAAGGTGAAGGTCAAGTCATCAACGTAGTGTTTCTTAGGGGTTTCGTGGGTGGCCTTCACCTGTGTGGTCGTACTGGACACCAACTGAAAGTTGACAAGCATGAATACAACAGAGGCTGGGATTTTCTTAAAAAACATGCATTTTCTGAACCGTAAGCATGGTGAGCAGAGACAGGATTTTATCAAATATTCTTAAAAAACAACAACATTTTATTGCAAAAATGATGCCATGTTCCTAATGTGGGACTAATCACCATGATCTGGTGGCCATTATTCATAGAATGATTTATGTGAGTGTCCTTGCTGACATTGCGACATTTCAATTTAATTAGGACTGAGACTAGAAAGGAAGATATTATTCAAACTTGTCAGGGATTAGGTGTTATGCAATAGACTGACAGATGATGAATCAGTGAATAGGTCTTTATGCCAGTCAGCAATATTCCAGCAACCGTCATCTTTGCGAGGAAAGAGAGTTAACTGACTTTAAAAGTCCAGTTTCCACCCTTGCCCAACTAGCCTGGAATTCCTTTGCTCGATTGTAGCGCCACCAGTGGCTATTACTAGTTATATCCCTTCTGAGCCTCTCCTATGGACCAATCAGATTCCACCTCTCATATCACCTGCATTTGCTTCAAACAAAATGGCGGCGCCAAGTCAGAACGATCTGCTCGATAATCAAGATCTATATTGTGATAAAACGGTTCTTACATCGCCAAATGCATCATATCACGTGAGCACCTTGATTAAAAACACGAAAAGATTTTGAAAATATCTGTTGACAACGAGTTGGCGGTGCACATGCTTTGCAAATCCTGCGATCGACCGAAATCTGCATGACAGTTTACGAACCGGATTTCGATTTCGTTGCGCGATTTTGATTGGACTATGCATAGACTCGTTAGTCCAGCCAAATTGTAACTCCATAATATCAGCCTAGTATGGCAAGGGTGGAAACTGGACTTTTATAGTCAGTTAACTCACTTGCCTCAGGAAGATGGCAACCGTAATCGCTCCAATACGTACAACCCCAGCCTACCCTGACCAACTTCTATACCAATCTGTAAGTAATCTTTGTAAGCACCCCTACAAAGACTGAACTGTACATAAGTCCATATTTTCTTGTGTATGTTACTGATTTATTTTTACAGAAAACAGAACTATGATGGTCCAAAACCAGTTGATCACTGAAAATAAACTAAAACTTGTTGTTTGTGGTTTTAGTAACAGCCCCCCACCTTTGTCGGTTTTAGTGGCCAAGGCGTTTATTACATCGAATAGCCAATATCCCAGCATGCAAGCTGAGTATGGGAGGAAAGCCAGAAGTGATGCAGATATTAAGATATGAACCACATGAAACCCACTAGCTGACAACCCAAAGAAACATCAGGGATTCAAACGCACTATCAAAGGTTTCTGCAGCAGACAAGTGGGCCACCCTTTCCCCAGAGAATTGACAAACGCATAATTAGCCCCAGAATGAGGATATGAAGTCATGCAATGGTCATGCCACTAATTTTAACCACCAGAACCTCATTCCTCTGCATTTATTACCACCACCAGAACTCCAGTTAAGCTGCATGTTTGCATAAAATACTACCCCCCCTCCCCCCCCCCCCCCGAAAGAAATGTGAACATTAGTGACTTGTAGTGTAACCATATAGTCATTAAACAATATATCACATGACTAACAACGGGTCCGGGTAGTTCTGGGGGAACTCGGGTCCTTCTCAGTACCCACCCGACCCAGGTACCCGAGTTACCTGCCCCAGCCCTAGCAAGGACTATAAGTGAGTGAGTGAGTGAGTATGGTTTTACGCCGCTTTTAGCAATATTCCAGCAATATCATGGCGGGGGACACCACAAATGGGCTTCACACATTGTACCCATGTCGGGAATCGAACCCGGGTCTTCGGCATGATGAGAGAACGCTTTAACCACTAGGCTACCCGACCGCCCCCAACGTCTATAAGACAAGTGCCAGTTTCTATCAATGATGTGGAGACCTGAAAAACTGAAGAAATAAATGATAGTTTAGCCTAAACATGATGTTCTGCTTTTACCTTGTAGCGACATTTCTCTCCTCCATTAGCACATCCCGCATCACCCTCCCATGTTCCTATCTGTTTCACAATGGCGCTGCTCACATTCATGCACGGCAGTGAAAACGTCCTGAAAGAGTTACGCAGACATAAATAGTGGTCAAACAATACAAGAGCAATGGTGTCACGCAGGGCTGGGACAGGTAACTCGGGTACCCGGGTCGGGTGGTTGGTTAGTTGGTTTGTTGTTTAACGCTGCACTCAGCAATATTCCAGCTATATGACGGCGGTCTGTAAATAATCGAGTCTGGACCAGACAATCCAGTGATTAATATCATGAGCATCGATCCACACAATTGGGATCGATGACATGCTTCAAACAAGTCAGCGAGCCTGACCACCCGACCCTGTTAGTCGCCTTTTACGACAAGCAGTCACCTTTTATGGCAAGCGTGGGTTGCTGAAGACCTATTCTACCCCGGATCTTCACAGGTTCCGGGTCGGGTGGGTACTGAGTAGAACCCGGGTACCCACAGGACTACCCGCACCCGTGGTTAGTCACGTAATAATATTGTTTAATGGAAAAGATTATCCAGAACTCTATACACGATAAATGATAAATGTTATCTTTCTTTCTGACTTTGCACACATTCCTTCTGACTTTATATGTTTGCATAATGATAAAACATCAGTCAACTTCAGTGTATGCATAACCAGATTGGTTTATATGTGTATCTAAATTTATTTGGACAGGAGTACGGTCAAACTATTTCGAATCGGACATGTTTTACCTATCACTTGAGACCTACAGTGGGTACCTGGGTAGGGTCAGGTATTAGGGGTCTGGGTACCCGGGTAGTAAATTTGGACTCGTCCCAGCCCTAGTTTCAGGACCCATAGAACAATTTCAGAGTGTTGCATCGCTACACAAACCGCATGTTTGAAAAAGAGGCACAAAAATATTGACGTCAGATAAGTTCATAAGGAACAGACCAATTGATATTCTGTCTTTTTTTAATCGAGATGAGATATTTTTTCAGCTACAGCTACAAAACCAGATATTGCTTAATGAATAACTGTGAGCCTGAATTATTTATAAGAAAAACACCTTACACAATGTCATTTTTGTGGCAGACAATTTCTTTTTTTTTTCAATAACGTGAAGCATAATTATATTTTCTTCAAGAATTTTTGGGGACAATTATCTCGACAAAGGCCTGGGTTTAATTCCCCATATGGATACAATGTGTGAAGGCCATTTCTGATGTCCTCAGCCCTGATATATTGCTGGAATACTGCTAAAAGCAGCGTAAAACATACTCAGTCCCTCTTCTATGACATATAAATGTGACCCGCCAGGAGAAAAGGGACCTTATGGGTGCTATGATACAGTTGTGCTGTGACGTCATAAGACGTTTGAGTCAACTTACTTCAGTGAAAATCGCCATGTGTGTGGCCTGCACAAAAGCAGAGCTCCAGATAAGCTTTTGGTGTTTTAAAATCATTGGGTATCAGTAATTCTATCTGGGTATTCAAATTTCTGTTACCCACTAGTTTTTACATATGTGGGAATTTAAGTTAAATATTTAAAAACACGATTCATCTAGTCCCTGCAAACTGGTGTTGTGTGGGATCGAGAGCTTTATAGGACTCAAAAATACCACGATACTTCCACACGAAAGTGTGATGGCAAATGATCATGATGTAACTGTCATCGTGGAGTTTGGTAAGGTTGACGGAATACCCGTTTATAATTTCAAAATAAGTTGCTGATTTGCTAATCCAATACGCAGGGTTACTTCACAATATTGTGATGATACGCACAAGTTTTATTTTTGTAGCGTATCTGTAATGTTCGTTGCGTATTTGATATGCTTGGATTATATTTTACTGCCTATTTCTGCATTTCTGATGCGTATTTTACGCAGATACGCAGCTTATCTGGAGCTCTGCAAAAGTAACTTATTTCTCTCTCGTTAGTTCATAAGGTAAACATTATTTTAAAACCTTTCAGCATACATGTCTACCCTCAATTCATCCGACATTACATCTAAAAACTGCAATTATCACATAAACAGTTATAAGTCGGAAAATGAATCATAATATTTGATATGTATCTCTGTAATGAATACGAACTGAAGCTTGTGGTTTGGATTTTTGTGTTCCAAAGATACTGTAGTTTTAAAATATAATTGAAAGTCAAAATGTGATTTTTTCACCCATAAGGTCACTTAAATTATCTCATGGTTGGTCACATATATGAGAATGTACTTCTCTGAAACTTATTAGAAGATTCATCGAAATTTTAAGATGTTATGTTAGATTTTCAAGTTTTAATATTGATATAATATGAGTTCTAAAATGATAGGATAAAACTAATGCCAAATATGAAATGTTCTGCTGTTGTCATTTACAGGTGCTTCGTTCAATATGTACAGTAAAGAGTTACTTCCCTTTAAACGTGTCCCATTTCCGATCACATGTTCTCCTTGATTGGCTTTCGTAATCAACACCAAAGAAAGACTCCTGAAACCGTCACTGAAATTTGTTGTATATTACTCGGTACCATAACCGTATTACTGCCATTACCTCTGGCAACAAAATATACGTACTGTTATGGCGTAAACAAGAATGATACATGAATTCACAAAACTCCGTCTTGGAAATCCGGGTTCGGAAAGACGGACTCACCAGTTAACTTTGCACGAAGCATGAATGGGGCCGAACAGAGCGCCCTCAGTTGCAACGACAAGGCAAATCACCGCTAGCACTATAAACGACTTCATTTTCTCGTTCCAAAGTCAGAAAGTGTTGAATACAGCCTATTCTCTCGTTATGCAAGCCTGTGTGTCATGTGATTTTGCATGTGACCGTTGTGATCACGTGACTCTAAACTTTACACCCGATTGTTATATATTATATATCAAGATGTCATAGAATTACATGTTTTATTTTGGTGAGACGATAGTGATGGTATTTATAAGAACGCGGGTTATATCAGTTATTATATATGACGTATGAAACGACGACAGGTTGATTGATGTATTCTCCTGGGATAAAAATCAAAGGCAACATCCGGCCCCAGAGAGCAATTCCCCGAGAATTTTGAGAGTAATTACCCAGGACTGATTGTTGCCTTTGTTATTGTTTGTTTTTTCCGTGAGTACCCGGATGATATAGCAGAATTCTAGACTAGTTCGCGACCTGTGCTGCGCAATTCGTAAGCGCATTGTCACTTTAGGGCGTATTGTCACATTGATCAAGAAAATGAAATACAGTTTTGGAAATGTAGGTATCTTTGTGGGTAGCATCAGTATTGGTGACGAAGTCCCTTGCTTGGTAATTGTGCGATTTTCCTTTACACTATTTTGACTTGCAACACAAATGATATATTTCACCCGAGCATTGCTTATTTCATCGTGTTTATAGTTTCACTGTCAAAATGTGCAAAATTTTCACTTAAGTAATTTATTAAACGCCCAAATATTCAGTTATTTTACAAATTGTCTGAAAAATATGTCCTTCTTTATTATTTTGATAACGAATTCTAAACACTGTTACTCATCACCCAGTGACTGAAAATGTTAGGATTTGAAAGTACATTTGTATATTGTTTGTCTTCTAATCCAGGCATAATTAATCTACTGTGATGATTTGACCGTCTTAATAATATTTAGTCAATCTGTCGAAAAACGGAGAGATTTTTCAGTCAATTTGTAAAATTAGTTCATGAAAGGCTGAACACGCAAACACGTTGTGTATATCTGTATAGACTTTATATAGACACGCCATACTGAGTTACACGTTGAAATACACCAGTGGGGACCCCGAGTAAGAATATTGGCCCACAGTAAGCTGTGCTTGTTGTAAGTGAGTGAGTGAGTGAGTTGGGTTTAACGCCGCTTTTAACATTATTCCAGTTATATCGCGGCGTGCCAGCTTAATGCGGGAGGAAAGCCCGAAGTGATGCAGGTCTCAGACGCTTACCACTTCAGTGAAACCCACGAGCACGGGTATGGTGCTGACAAACCTAGAAACATAATCGGGGCGAACCGGGATTCGAACCCACAGTCATAGGTTTCTGGCGTGCCCAAGGGACGCAACTGTGCACAGCGAATCGCGGCGCCTTGGACGACTGGGCCACCCGTGCCCCCCCACCCATTTTGTGGATTGGCAAACGATGGTGTTATCCAAGCATACATATGCTACATGTTCGCCACGATATAGTGGACCCGTGAAGATCCGGGGTAGAATAGGCCTTCAGCAACCCATGCTCGCAGTAAAAGGCGACTATGCTTGTCTTAAGAGGCGACTAACGGGATCGGGTTGTCAGGCTAGCTCGCTGACTTGGTTGATGCATGACATCGTATCCCAATTGCGTGGATCGATGCTCATGATGTCAATTGCTGGATTGTCTGGTCCAGACTTGATTATTTACAGACCGCCGTCATATAGCTGGAATATTTCGGAGTGCGGCGTTAAACAACAAACAAACAAACAAACTTCTTCCCGAGGCAAGGGAGTTAACCGACTATAATAGTCCAGTTTCCATTGGACTTTTAACGTCAGTTAACTCACTTGCCTCGCGAAGATGTCGAACGATGCCGAAAGATGAAAGTACCGTTTGACATAAATTCGTCACATCGGACGTCATATGACATCAGTGTTATAACGACCACGTGGTATGTATGTGTATAAAAAAAACGTGCGCCCAAAATAGTACAGCAACCATGTAAGCCTAGGATGTAAGTTTGGGATTAAGCAGCGCTCGAAACGGGCCATCGATGACTACCTTTAACATATTAACAAACAAAAAAGTTTCTCTCAGAGGATGGGTTTCTTTAATGAACAGCGCAGTCCCGCTTGCTGTACTGTGTACATATTTTGTCACTTGTCGTCTCGGAGTATCCCGCTGTCTTCACCAGTCCAGCGCCTACGAGGAAATAAAGACACACAGTTAGCATATAGGTGTACGATATACGTATAACAATACAGGAAGCATATAGTATAGGATGGAATTTTCTAAACATGATACCGTGTTGAGAACAATTATCTTTATTTACGTTTCACCCAAAGGCGATAAACCAGCATGAGATTGATAAACCAGTAACCAGTTTATAGTATGAGTTACGGTTTGTATCGCTGGGTCTGTTACTTTTAAAACAGCTAGTCACTGTATGGAATCAGTGAGTATTGAGCAGTATTACAGTTATATCGCCGCATGTCAGCTTGATGTGGGCGAAAACCCGAAGCCATGCCGGTCCTAGGCGTTTACCACTTTCATGAAACCCAGGAGCACACGACTGGTGCTACCAGGATGAAACATAACAAATGTTGGATTCGAACCAACAATCACTGGATACTGTCACGCCTAAGACGCGCATCTCTGCACCTGATTTGCAACTATCTTAGACTACATGCACTACAAATCTCGTTATAATGAAAGCCCATGCTCCAAATACATTTAGGGATGGTGGGTTTGCCCAGTGGTTAACAATCTCATTAAAATCAGACCTGAGATCTGAAGACATCCCATTAGGGGTCACGTCAGATCGACCTTTCATCCGACCAATCAGTGCGTCGCTTACCAGATTATGAAAGTGACAGTCGGAATGTGATTTCTAATCACTCAACCTCGAAAACTTTAACATGGGGTATACCGAACGATAGTTACGGGTTTAACGACTGATTCCTTACAATCTAGACCATCTAATAGCCATTCCAGAATGTCTTTTGTTCAGGTTTCAAATTTTTAATCGGAATTTGTCAAAATATGTTTCGAAGCGAAGTCGCCAATTTGAAATTAGTGCCGTAAAGCACGAGAAAGCTGCCTTCTGATTGGTCATTCCATTGGTCGGTCAAAGTTCGCGCAAGGTCGGCCTGACGTGACCCGTAATGGGGTGTCCTCGGATCTTTGTTCAGCGGTAGCGAGAACTAAGATCTGATTTTAATGAGATTGAGTGGTTAAAGCCTTCGCTCGTCACGCCGAAGACCCAGGTTGGTTCGCTGGTTGGTTGGTTCAGTGATCTGAGGCGCCACAATTCGCCGTGAGGAGTTGCGTCCCTTGGGCCAAGATCCTATAATCGTAGGTTGAATCCAGGATTCGTATTGATTATGATGCTTGGTTTGTCGACAAAGTGAACGTGAGTTTCAAAGAGTGCAAACTTCTCAGGTCGGCACCACTTGGTTTTCTTCCCACATTTATCTGTCACGCTGTGAAAATATTGTACAATGCAGCGTTTTCTTCAAGTGGCTTACCAAGATACTGTATTAAGGACTTACCATCAAGGAGATTGAACAAGTTGCAGTAGTTGGTGCCGAAGTCAAGGACAGCGTACCATGTCTCTGACGTACTGAATCCCTAATAACACACAAACAGGTAGTACTATACACTGATTATTCCATGGCTATAAGAACCTCTACTAAGGAAAGTGTCTATTGTACGATTCCGACAATATCATATGTGTTTATATATCACTATCAAATAGTGATGATCCCAGGTGTTCGCGAAATGGTGAACGTACCCTGCCGACGGCACCCATAACAAATACAGGCAAAGGCAGGGCAATTGTTCTATTTCTGTTTTTCTGTTGTTAACGCCGCTATATTTGAACTATAGGACATGTAAGTAATCGTGTCTTGACCAGACAATCACGAACAAGGAGCCACGTAATTGGGCTACGATGTCATGTTATCAACCAAGTCACCGAGCCTTACCACCCGATCATTTAGTCGCTTCTTGCGACAAACATATTCTTACCCGGTATCCCCACTGGCGCATGAACGAAAACAGGACATTAACCCGATTGATTCGCTAACAGTTCACAGTGAGACCGTTTTTGTTGAACAGTTTCAGGAATAAAGAATCATTGGTACTTGCAGCAATGTCCCGTATATATGCACATGTCCTATAATCGTGTTTTGCATATTGAGTATTTCAACAAAGAACGAATATATCATCCTGCATGACGTCCTTGCATTATTTATCTGATTTGGTCGACCGCCTCCGTGGTCTAGTGGTAGAGCGTCCGCCCGGAGAGCGGAAGGTCCGGGTTTCGATTCCCGGCCGCGTCATACCAAAAGACGTCAAAAGATGGTACTTGTTGTTACCCTGTCTGGCGCTTTGCATTAAGGGGCTAAAACAAGGACTGGTCGGCTCGGAGTCCGTATACTGTGTCTGAGTGGGGTATTCATGTTAAACTGCGGCATGGTATCTCAGTGAGCTGGCACTATAAATCGGCATCAGTCCGGACTAGTACAAGCAGCCACACACACGTACTTGCGCGCAATGATGAGCGCAATAATCTTGGACGCGACGTTAAACCCCATTTCACCTCACCTGATATGGTCAGTATTGCAAATGGTTCGTCAAACGTAGTAAAGGGTGTACATATGCGATAGGATAAGGACCCTTCTTGGTCCGGTATAGTGTCAAATTTTGAAGTTATTTAACATTTTAAAATATTGGTGTGGAACTAATGTTTTTTAATAACTGAAACTAGCCTTACTTTCTTACATGAAATTTTTTGAACACCCACATAAACAAAAACACAAGTGTTGCTAAAATGAGTGAAAAAAAATTACTTTACAATCTAACAATCAAGTCCTTCTCTATACCTAAGAATTACAGAAAACGTTTTCTGAAAACCTTTTGACATACAGTAAACTACGGTTATAACGAACTGACGGATATAACGAACTCACTTATTTGGGCCCGACTATTTGCTGTAGTTATGCTGTATATATGCTTATAACGAACTACGGTTATAACGAACTAAAATTAGTAGTCTCCATGAGTTCGTTATAAGCGTAGTTTACTGTACTATGACCTTAACTATATTCACTTGTTTCTTTCATAACAGTTTCTTAAAGATGTGGTAATTTCGTAAAATATCCACATCATGTGAAGGTCCTTTATCATACCTTGACCTTTAACCACTATATAATCGCTATATCTTTGGCATGGCAACAGCAAACAGGTTCACGTATGTCCGATTCACTGACACACTTACTTGTTATCAGTCACAATATACGTATATTTGGGAAGGTGGATTTTCATGTGTTTACTCGATTAAGCCCTTGCCATCGTCACAATTCGACCTTCACCTCTGTACTTACGTGAACTTTGCACATGCTGGCTTCCTGTGTGAGGGTGAAGGTCAAATCGTCCACATAGTGTTTCTCACGGGTTGTTCGAGTAGCTTTAATCTGTGTGGCACTGCTGGACAGGAGCTGAAATTATATAAAGTTAACTACGTTTATAACGAACACGCTTATATCGAACTGACAGATATAAGGAACCTAATTTTTTGACCCGACTATATTTGCTGTCGTTATACTGTATATATGCTTAAAACGAACTACGGTTATAACGAACTAAAATTAGTGGTCCCTTTGAGATCGTTATTACCGTAGTTTACTGTATTTGATTTCTTATTTTTCACCGACAATTTTCTTTTGTGCAGCTTACATAGGTCTTCTGGTGCCTTGGATAACACTTATTTGTTGTTTTACGCCGCACGCATAATTATTCTTGAAATAATCGTGGGCGACACAATCCTACAGTTGATATCATGCATGAACAACGATTCGCGCTGTCAACCAAGTTACGGAATCTGACCATTCGAACTATTAGGTAGCTTCTCGCGACCTTCAGGGGTAGGGGACCAATTGTAACACAGAATCACATGGTAGTGTATCTCAACCTGTACACATCTCTTATGACATTTAACCAGATTCGTCATTCAAATTTTGTTTAAAAATTCCTCTCTCATCATGCAGTGTTTCGAACGCGGACAAAACATATAAAAAATCAAGCTCGACTCCATTCGACTTTGGGACCGCCTCCGTGGTCTAGTGGTAGAGCGTCCGCCCGAAAAGCGGAAGGTCCGGGGTTAGATCCCCGGTCGCGTCATACCAAAAGACGTTAAAAGATGGTACTTGTTGTTACCCTGTCTGGCGCTCGGCATTAAGAGGCTAAAACAAGGACTGGTCGGCTCAGAGTCAGTATACTGTGTCTGAGTGGGGTATTTATGTTAAACTGCGGCAGGGTATCTCAGTGAGCTAGCACTATAAATCGGCATCAGTCCGGACTTGTACAAGCAGCCACCAAAAACACACACACGTACATGCACGTCGCCATATAAGTGCAATAATCTTGGACGCGTCAAAGATTATTGCACTTATATAGCGACGTTAAACCCCCATTTCACCTCACCTCACCATTCGACTTTGGAAATCGTGGCAGAGCGTGAATAGGCGTAGAATACCAAGTTCCAAGTTTCAAAGTTTATTTCAGAAGTAAGGCCACGTACAATAAATTACAAACATCAATTTGGAGACAGATGTGCGTTTTGTCTAACAAATAGAGAGTTGTATATAAACTTTGCACAATTAATCAACCTCAATTGCTTATTGCATGATCCGATCTTATTGAAACTGCGAATCGGAGTAAAATATTCAATTTGCCCTCGGAAAACAAGAATTTTAAACAAAAATTAGAATTGCATCTCTTTGTAAACATTTCGTTTGTTGCAGAACGTCAATCCTGGCGGCAGCTGGGAAATACATCGAAAGACAGGAATTTATGGTTTTTTTACTTAATGTATATTAGATCGCAACTATCCTGTAGTCGTTGTGCTAACTTGATCTTATACAAAGACAGCATTGAGCGAACGGTCAATAGGATTTTGCTTCAGCTTTGAACAAGTCCATTATTTCATGGCGCGCCCGTCATCTGAATGTGCGTGGGAAGCCGAAAGTGATGACGATCTTAGACGTGTGTGATATTACATGGTAAAACGATCAGATTTTCTGATGACGAAGGATTGTAATCGGGGCAAAAATAGGATCATATTATCCTGGCACGCCCAAGGGACGCAACGCTAACATTGTTAACAGAGTTGTCTTTTACCTTGTAGAGACACTTCTCTCCAGAGGTAGGGCAGCCAGAGGTGTCCTTCCAGATCCCGATCTGTTTCACAATGGCAGCCTCTATGTCACTGCACTTCATCGAAAAAGTCCTGAAATGTGTATAAGTTGACACAGTGTGTTTAAAGAAATTATACAGAAGACACGCGCCTTTGTCTTGTCTTGTGGTGACAATATAGAACAGTCTACATCTTCTCTCTTTAGGGGCGGTCGGGTAGCCCAGTGGTTAAAGCGTTCGCTCGTCACGCCGAAGACCCGGGTTCGATTCCCGACACGGGTACAATGTGTGAAGCCCATTTCTGGTGTCCCGCGCCGTGATATTGCTGGAATATTGCTAAAAGCGGCGTAAAACCATACTCACCCGACTCTCTCTCTCAGTCTCTATCTCACGCGCACATCCATTTTGTGCTTTAAAGGGATATACAATATGGTAAGACTTTCCTATTCGAAAACAAACCTGGAAACAGTCCCTGAATTGAATTATTTGCGGAGGACCCTTCACGATCAAGCTATTCTAATACACTGGTGTCGAGGATTCCGTGGCAAATTAACATTGTATATTTGTTTTTTTATTTGTTTGTTGTTTAACGCCGCACTCAATATGCCAGCTATATGAAAGCAGGCTGTAAATAATCGAGTCTGGACCAGACAATCCAGTGATTGACATCATGAGCATCGATCCACGCACTTGGAATACGATGACATGCATCAGCCAAGTCAGCGAACCTGACCACCCGATTCCGTTAGTAGCGGCAAGCATAGTCGCCTACTTGCCTACTGCAAGCATGGGTTGCTGCATGAAGACCCATTCTACCCCGGGTCGTCACGGGTCTCATTGTATATGTACGTCTTCTGGAAAGACGTATGGAATATAGAGATCGTGTGGCCACAATGGGTGCTACTATGCTCGTAGATGTGAATTTGTCTCAGATGGATGGTCAGTATTAACAAAATGGGAATCAAATTTGACGTGGATCGATGCTCATAGCTGGTGCTCTGTTAACTAAGAGATACCACTAAAATAAGGTAAGGATCAACCGATTCTTTCATATATTTATATGGAATAACTCGGGTGTTCTCAGCTTGTTTTACTTCCACATATCCAATATCCATAGGGTGGATGATTAACCAGTTAATCAACATTCACTGGAGGACTCGTTCCGCCGATAGCACTGTTTTGATATACAGTACAACAGTAAAATGTGTGAATCCCATTGCTGGTGTCCCACGCCGTGATATTGCCATCTTCCCGAGGCAAGGGTAACTGACTTTAAAAGTCCAGTTTCCACCCTTGCCGAACTAGCATGGAATTACTGGGCTCGATCGTAGCGCCACCAGTGGCTATTACCAATTATATCCCTTCTAAGCCTCTCCTATGGACCAATCAGATTCCACCTCTCGTATCACTTGCATTTGCTTCAAACAAAGTGGCGGCGCCAAGTCAGGACGATCTGCTCGATAATCAAGATCTATATTGTGATAAAACGGGTCTCACATCGCGAAATACTTCAAATCACGTGAGCACCTTGATTAAAAACATGAACAGATTTTGAAAATATCTGTTGACAACGAGTTGGCGGTGCACATGCTTTGCAAATCCTGCAATCGACCGAAATCTGCATGACAGTTTACGAACCGGATTTCGATTTCGTTGCGCGATTTTGATTGGACTATGCATAGACTCGTTAGTCCAGCCAAATTGTAACTCCATAATATCAGCCTATAGTTCGGCAAGGATGCAAACTGGTCTTTTATAGTCAGTTAACTCACTTGCCTCGGGAAGATGTGATATTGCTTACGCAAGGCATTGCTAAAGCCGCGTAAAACTAAACTCACTCATTACAACAGATCATGAAAGTTATACGAACTGACCAGTCGACATTGCAGGAAGCGTGAGAGGGTCCTGAAGTTAGAATGAAGCTCTCGGCTGCCACTGCGAGGCACGCCAACGTTACGACTGCGTACGACTTCATCATTGCTTCTCTAAAGTAACAAGAACGCCACCACCGCAAAATCACCAATTTAGCAGACAGGACGGGTCATGTGATTACAAGTGCTGCGACTCGCCACCTGGAGCCTAGGTCACGTGACTCCTACAGGTGGGGCCCCTCTCTGTCTTATCACGGGAATGACTAAGAATTTATAGTTCATGGGTACTTCACGATATTAGTTTGCTTTTAACTAAAAATGATGTTGGTTATATTTTTAATCTAAATATCAAAAGGTACGTCATGCTTGTCGTAAGAGCTTGTGGATTGGATGGTCATAATCAGACTATTTCCCGTATGCCACAGTGGCGCGGACCGTTACACATACTGACACATACGCGATTATTTACATAGCTTGAGCAGCGGTGATAAAATCTCGTGTATTTTTACATTACGCTATAATTGTAAAATAGAGTCGGCTTAATGGGAGACACCGCCCAAATTTGCTCGCTAGGTGGCGCAATTGTACTTATGGTCACAAGCCGCAACCGGAAGTCAGCTTTTAAAGTGGCTCGTATCGAACATCATTTCGACCGCTAAATGATTCGCAGCGCATTCTAATCGCGGAACCGTCACAGATTATAACCTCTAGTACACGCACGCCCCTGTGGATTAGTACGACGGTACTCCCCATTGTTTTGGGTCAAAAGTCATTTCCTTCTTATTTCAGTTTGTCTTCTTGTCGGTCGGTCTCGTAAACCAACTAAATATAAAAATAGTATAATGCCTCATTAATGTTTTATTATCTTATAATGGCTAGTGATATCGATGCTATAAGCCAATCCGAAAAACTTGGTGTCAAATATGGCAACCATCGGTCGGTAAGCTGTCCCGTTCCTAAACCTCGGAACCCTCCGCCTTCTCTAGGAGCTTCCGCTGTACCTGGTGATACCTCTAACACCACTTTTGAGATTTCTACAACCGACCTGGATGTGGAAATTCCTTTATCTCCAGTGTCTGGGGTTTAACCTCTTTGGTCATATGGACAAGGCGTCCGACCTGTGATCAGAAGGTCCGTGGTTCGAATCCCATCACGGGAATCGGAAATTATATGGCCGTTACATTGGCGCACAACATGGGGCTGAGCACGTTCATATCAAATTTGAGCAAAATAGTCCCAGTACCCTACTATGCGGCCTACTAAAGTTCCCTGAAAGGTTTCTGTAGAAAAAAAACATCACTTCAATTCATTTGGCACTATATATACCATTCGTCACGATTCGCCCCTTTCCGTAACCCGCTATTTGCTTGTCCCGGAATAACACGAGTTGGTCACGAATGACATGGAACGGTTCACTCAAACAATGTATTTATACGCGAGAGCTACTTAATTGAATATTTGTGTGTTTCTTTGTTGTTGTTTAATGCCACACTCAGCAATATTCCAGCAATATGACAGCGGTCTGTAAATAATCGTGTCTGGACCAGACAATCCAGTGATTGATATCATGAGCATCGATCTACGCATATGAAATACGATGACATGCATCAAACGCGTCAGCGAGCCTGACCACCCGATCCAGTCACTCGCCTCTTACGCAAGCATGGGTTGTTGAAGACCTATTCTATCCCGGATCTTCACGGGTAACTTAATTGAATGAAATTACGTCTTAAACATCGCTTATAATGTAATAATGGTATGTGATAAAACGATTATTACCGTCGCCTGGTTCATTACCGTAAATACCATATATTAGGAATAGAAAATTTGTATAATGCTCGCCAACGGCGGTATTTACGACACGGAAATAAGCTCGGCTAATAATCTTATTTATTTCCCATACAAATCGTATGTGCACTGGTATAGTGCAAATACCGCTTAACGCACAGAGTGTTTAGTTTACGTCATCCGGGCGGCATTGTTGGCATTCGAATCGTATTGTGACGTAAGGTCGAAATGATGCCACACTAGAAATTAGGTCATAGCTGGACGTCATTCGACAATTGTGGTTTTCTGAGTCGGCGGTCGTGGTCAGTGCATTTTTTCTGAAAGGGAGATCAAAGATATTAAGAAAGAATGGGTAATAATTGAATTATTGAATTACTGTATTACCCATAGGGTTAAAAGTAACCGAGTCCATAAAAATCGCCCATTTCTGATGTCGCCGGTCGTGATATTACTGGAATATTGTGGCGTAAAACAATACTCACTCACTCATAATAATCGTTTGTGCACTGGTGCAAATATCGCGTTATGCGCAGCAGTATATTGTTCACGTCGCCCTGACGGCATTGTTGACTATCATTCGAATCGTATTGTGACGTAAGGTCTAAATGACGCCAGACTAGAAACGACGTCATAGCTGGATTTCGGTCGTGATCAGTGCATTTTTCTGAAAGGGAGATCAAACGAATTAAGTTAGTTGGTTTGTTGTTTAACGCCGTACACAGCAATATTCCAGCTATTTGACGGCGGTCTGTAAATAATCGAGTCTGGGCCAGACAATCCAGTGATTAATATCATGAGCATCGATCCACGCGATTGGGATCGATGACATGCATCAACCAAGTCAGCGAGCCTGGCCACCTGACCCCGTTAGTCGCCTTTTACAACAAGAATAGTCACCTTTTACGGCAAGCATGGGTTGCTGAAGACCCATTCTACCCCATCTTCCCGAGGCAAGAGAGTTAACTGACTTTAAAAGTCCAATTTCCATCCTTGCCGAACTAGGCTGGAATTCCTGGGCTCGATCGTAGCGCCGCCAGTGGATATTACGAGTTATGTCCCTTCCAAGCCGCTCCTATGGACAAATCAGATTCCACCTCTCGTATCACTGGCATTTTGTTTCAAACAACATGGCGGCGTCAAGGCAAGACGATCTGATCTGTAATCAAGATCTATATTGTGATAAAACGGGTCTTATATCGCGAAGTGCATCAATTCACGCGAGCACCTTGATTAATATCATGAAAAGATTTGTAAAACATCTCTTGACAACGAGTTGGCGGTGCACATGCTTTGCAAATCTTACAATCGACCGAAATCTGCACGACAGTTTACGAACCGGATTTCGTTTTTTGTTGCGCGATTTGATTGGACTATGCATAGACTCGTTAGTCCAGCCAAAATGTAACTCCATAATACCAGCCTAGTTCGGCAAGGATGGAAACTGGACTTTAATAGTCAGTTAACTCTCTTGCCTCGGGAAGATGGTTCTACCCCGGATCTTCACGGGTCTCACATCAATGTTATACTGATTTTACGAAACTCGTGTAAGAATTCACATGTTACCCTCGCTCTCGCCCGGGAAATACAAGAATTCTAACACTCGTTTCGTAAAATCAGTATGACACATAAGGGTGAAACGATACATCGATATTCCGATGCATCGCGATACTTGACCCACTGTACGATATACGATAAACGTGGGCCCATTTATCGATACGCCACGATACGGAACGCAAATCTCAAGTACAGCTTTTCCTCGCTATTGTGCCTTTCAATAAACCGCTAACTTGGTTATAGCGCGCGGTAACGCATGGCTCCCCCAAAAAGTACTTACATTTTTAATAAGCTCAGGTTTTACACTGACAGAAGTTTTTCCCAATCTCAAAAAACATTATCAGCTGATCACCGCAAGCACATAACACCAAAAATACCAGTCAGCAAAACCGAACTGAAGTACACAATTCAATACCATCATAATACTATCTTGTTATTATATATATATTCTTTATTCCTCCATAGGAGAGTTACAAACATATAAATACAGTATTTACAAGTGTACGAAAACAGGCATTTTTATGTTAAGTCTATCCCTGCTCACATGTCAGAACATATAATGTTTCTTCACAAGGTCTATATATTTCTTCAATTGGAAGAGACCTATGACTGCAGCTTTTGCAAAGTTCTCTACCATCTCTGGACTTGCTGGGATCGGGGGCGTACATGCTAGGAGACAGCAAACTAACTCAATTTCCTGCTTGTTATGAAGAGCCACGCTGACTTCCACTGGACAAGTGTCGACTATGCTACACCACAAACTGTCTCTGAGTTGCTCTGTCTGTGGACATATACACACAACATGGACGAGCAAGTCCTGGTGGGCAAACATACACATGTCACACACTCCCTGGACTTTCCCAGGTCTCCAGACTGCGCACAAGTGGATCACGAAGGTTGCAGCTTGTTTCAGATCTGGGTTTCTTCTAGCAATTTCCCATGCTTTGTGAGGGGAGATAACCGGATGAATTTGTTTAAAATGCATTAGGTCTGGATCAGAGTTTATGCGTTTTCTCCAGGTTTCAAGATCATTCGCTTTAATGGCATCTTTCACAATTTTCTTCCAGGTATGACAGCTGGGGAATGTACCATGGGTACTAAAGCTGCTCAAGAATTGCTCAAGATTATATTTAGACATAATACGTTTAATGTCAGGAACATAACCCAGGGAAGTGGTAGAGCAATAGTAATTTGAGAGGGAAAGCCTAGTACTGAAAATTCTTCTCGGAAGGAACGTTATTCTACTATTGCATAGGTTCCCTAGAAACAGAAGTTTTCTCTTGTCTATTTCAGATTCCAAGGGGGTCCATCCAATTAGGGCATTACAAATATCAGTCCGTGTGCTTCGAGGGAGACCTTGTGCAATTTTTAATGCAGCTCTCTGGGCACGCTCTAAAGATAACAGTTCAGCTTTGCTTAAGCCACACCACAATTCACATCCATACAGGGCTCTTGGTACACAGACGCTCTTTAAGATGTTGGAACTCACCAGAGGGTTCAGTCCTCTTACGTGGACTCCTGTTCTTAACAACGCCATTGTGGTAGACCTCACGCAAATCTCAAGTACAGCTTTTCCTCGCTATTGTGCCTTTCAATAAACCGCCAACTTGGTTATAGCGCGCGGTAACGCATGGCTCCCCCAAAAAGTACTTACATTTTTAATAAGCTCAGGTTTTATACTGACAGAAGTTTTTCCCAATCTCAAAAAACATTATCAGCTGATCACGGCAAGCACATAACACCAAAAATACCAGTCAGCAAAACCGAACTGAAGTACACAATTCAATACCATCATAATACTATCTTGTTATTAAAACGTGTTCATTGTATATCTGGTCATGTGTTTGTAATATATTTTATTCAAACTTTCATTTAATATTGTTTTCATTAAGTTAGGTGAAATCGTGTGTGAAGAGATACAGCAACCAGTCAGATTACCGCTTTTGACGCATTGAAACGAACTTTAGTTGCTAAAGAATGGATACATATATTAAAAATGACATACTTTGACTCGTTAAAAGTTATATTTGTGGCAATTTGGCTAATATATTTCAACATAACATTTTCGCAATCGAAATACCTGTGGCGGGGAAGTCCCTACGGTGACTGGTCAAATTGTTCCCTACGTAAAAATATCCTGCAACAGCAATCACCAGTACCAAAATGCTACGCTTGTGGTTTTTATAATTTTAAATACATATAGAGTAAAAGCTGCAACTAAAGTAACACGATATTGTAATATATTATTCCTGATAAAACAATAATTTCAGATACAATTTCTTCGACCATTGCATACAAATTCTTTGAAGTTGTATAACTGGTGAAGTACATTAATTATTTTCTGGTGTTTCAACTTTGAATTGTTTTGAAGGAAAGTTAGAGAAAGTTCCACTTTGAAGCTTAACAACTTCAGTTGTCTTGTTATTATAAAATAATGTTGACTGTTCCAAAATCATGAAAGGTTCAATCTTGACATGCTTTAAGTCTTGTTTTTGTATCATTGCGTTTCGAGATACGTATCGTATCGTGACCAGAATATCGAGATGCGTATCGTATCGTGACCTTCCTCTATCGTTGCAGCCCTATTGACACACATGCACGAATAATAATCTATATTTCTCTAAGGTTGTCGAAGGTCGACACTGCCACATTGGCTGCTGAATCATCCGACTCGCTTAAATAATAAAAGATATTATTATATTATATTATTATATCCCAATTATAAGGTAAAAAGATTTCATAAACATCACTTTCATGATTTTTGTTCATTTATCTTCATAAATATATTTTCGGATGTTATGCAAACATTAATTCATTCTAATTTCGAAGTGAGGGAAAACATTTCGTTTTTGTTCCTTCAGGACGTTTATGATATGATAAAATTACATATACCACTAATGTGTGCTATAAATATAACTTAAATAGACTGGCAATACTATTATGTTTATTTCGTGTCTCAGTGCCTGATAAACCATGAGCCTTCAAATCTACACGACTTATATTTCACAATCTGTCGTTCTTTAATGCTTCTTGGCTCTTATTCCGGATTATCTGTATATCTTTTGTATCAACCCGAGACGTAAAAATATACTTGCGTTGTATTGGTTTAAATTACAAAAATAAAAACCCAAAACATTTATTAGATACATGCCATAAATATCCATCTATATTTGTAGCGTACATACAATTAAACTGTCATGGGGGTTATATAGAAAACCTATTTACAGTTTCGGTATGAATGCACTTCCGGTACTGAAGCATGTGGAGTTGACATCCCGCTCTTACACAGGTGTCGATCAGGGATTGTCACACTTTTAGTTCGTTTATTTCACAGGTAAGACGCTTGTTTCTCAAACTAGTCGGTAAAGTCAAAGAAATAATCGTTTTGTATAGTTCTGCTGAGTGTAATAAGCCATTTTTGTGTATGTGAGGCAAAATTTCATTTTCTTTTCCTGTGAAGAAACGACGTATTTCAATGCTTATTCAGAATACCATGCCGGCGTTGTGAAATACCAAGTTTGGGTTCTGTTTAGTTTTTTTAACCGAACTTGATTTGTATTCTAATTTTGTTGGTAACTATGAAACCTAGTTACCGAGAAATATCTTCCCATATTGTGGAAACCAATCTTCTGTGGTAGTGAAATACCGTTATGACGTCATAGTTTCTATCCTGTATGCTTAGTGACAAACCTACGTCCTTTGTCGCGAATAACAATACGTGGGATATTAGCGCCTCACTGGCTTCTTTTCAGAGTAAATTTGTATTCAGTTTTGTTATTTTATTTGAAATAGGACAGTGAACTTACTTCGACGTTATTTTATCACAAGATTCGTGTCGGCAAAATAAGTGAAAAATAAAGTAAACACTCAATGTCTCTTTAGTCAGCTGTAATTTTTGCTTTGAAATCCTATCACCATATGTTTTGTTATCTAGGAGTTTTTACTAAATTAGGAACGATTGAATATGATTACTGAAGTGATATGTTTGAGCATGTTCAGTGCTCTTTGGACGGATATTTTTCATTTGGGGGACTGGTTTTTTAATGGTCCCTGTAAATATTCAGTTCACCATAAGCAAGGTAACGCCTGAAAGACACCTTGAAAATAGTCGAGTCAGTAATGCCTCAATTCATGCTATTTGTCCTTTTTTTGTGAGTATGGTGATAGACAAGATTCATCAGAAAGAGTTGAAGTAAAACCTACTTAACCTACCTGTAAATATTTCACATGATCTATTCAGATTTCAGTAACACAGTAAACATGGTAAATAAAGTGCTCTCAATGTTTCAACATATCCCAAAGATAGTAATGTTAAGCTAATAACATTATGATCAATAATTTTATAATGTTCAAACTTAATGAGGAACTAATGGTCAGAGTAGTTTAAATTTTTGAACAGATACTCTAATACTAAACATGCTGAAGGAGATATACCATGGTTCACAGTATGAAGTTGATTTATAAGTCGAATATGATTTCAGAGATTTACAAACCCCAATCACAATGCCATCTGACGCCAAGAAAAAGCGTGATGCTAAGAAGAAGGAAGCTCAACGTAGCCGTGGAAAGAAACCCCAGGAGAATGGGGAAGAAAATGGTGTAAAAAATGGAGCTACTGGTAAGCATGAAACTTTTCAGTTTTGGTAGCAATGGAATTTAGATATTTACACCTTGTATGGATCTTATTTGTTTTAAAAGCATTGTTTCTTCAACACACATCATATTTTACTTTACTCGGCATCATGTCAACACAAACACCTTTACCAAGAAACACTGCACTAACAATATGCCTTTTAAGTTTAACATGTTGAAACCTTGTCTTTTCTACATTTTATCAATATTACATGGCCCATCTGAGGATATTTTGTGCTGAGCAGAGTTGCATCCCTTCAATATGCGAGACACAACTGAGGACCGGGTAGAGAATAGTTTTTCAGCAACCCATGCTTGTCGTAAGAGGCGACTAACAGGATCGGGTGTTCAGGCTTGCTGACCTGGTTGATGCATGTCATCATATCCCAATTGTGTGGATTGATGTTCATAAAGTCAATCGCTGGATTGTCTGGTCCAGACACGTTTATTTACTGACTGCTGTCATATAGCTGGAATATTCCCGAGTGCTGCGTTAAACAACAATCAATCAATCAATTTGCGAGAAACCCATGATCATGAGTTTGAATCCCATATTCACCCTGGTTAAGTTTCTAGTGCCAACACCACACCTGTGTTTCACTTGATGACCCCAGCAACCTTGTTGCTAGGCTGACGTCACATGACATTGTTTCGCTGATGGATCTTGCAACAAAATTCCACAAATTACGTCATCAGGTATTGTGACGTTATTGTAAACTTTGAGGTGCAAGGCCCGTTTCACAAGGCGATCATATTGTAGTGCAACGACAGTCGTTAGTCTAAGTTAAAGTATGTGAGTTGCGATAGTCTTAGCCCTACGATAATTTTGTGAATTCTAAAGGTGGACCGTTTTGTGGTATTAAATTCATATGTTTCAACTTTTGACGTGTTTGAAGTATTATTCTGTTAAACTCAATTGGACTATGCCGTGGATCGTGTAGGTGTCAGCCTATTCATACTCAACAGTATAATTCTAAAAACGTTATAAATGGCAAGTAATAAATATAATACTAAACTCGCTCCCCTGTAAAACCAGTTTTATGAAACTCGTGAATAGTTGTGGTATCTGACTTGCTTTCGTCAGATACCACAACTATTCACTCGTTTCATAAAATTGGTATTACACGGGAGCTCGTTTAGTATTCTATATGTAGTATACTGTACTATATAAGCATGATAAGATTTTGATAAATCATTATTATTTTACAGGACCTTTATATTTCTTGTCAAGAATTGTGTACAATGAATGTTTGTGCATCCTCTAGGATGCAATATATAATTTTTCTGCTTCCATTCTGTATATTTGTGTGTAAGGGACATACATTTCTGCATCAAGTAAAGCACTGAATATACTAGTATACATATCAATATTCCCACCAAAAGGTTGCATAAATGGTTCATTTTCCTATTTGGCCAATATAACTGGGGTCAAGGGTTACATGACTGCTGAAAAAGTGTCGCTTTTTGGAAGGCTTGATGCCATATGCGTTTAACATTGTTAATGAGCTAAAATAAAACAAGTAAAATTCTCTTGCATAAAGATGGTCAGTAAATTACAAGTGATTCCATGGTGATTTTGGTTTATTAAGCATTTTCTTTTTGTGTTTCCATTAACCTATGAAATAAGGCAATACTCAGTAGCTGATTGACAAGCTGATAGCAAGTGGGCAAGGCTTGTGTTGCATAATTTCACTGAACTTTGTCACTGGTTTCGTATCATTGTCTACAAATACAATATCTTTCTGTTAATAAAAGCAGTCTGTGAAGTTATTTGTTATGAGAATTGATTTCAATATATCTTTGAAGTCAGTTCTTAATAATAAGGTGAAAATAGGGAAAATTACATTGGACACTTTGAACAGTGCTGAGTAGGCAGGATAATGTGCTGCCCAGCGGTTGGCTGAATGGCAACAGAAATAATTATGCTGTTTATTGATATATTTTCACAAGGAACATAAATTTGAAGCAAATGACTGACCATGTACCTGCAACTCCCCGTCTCAAATTAAGATTGATTTAAGCTGTTTTTCAAGCTATAGTCACGATAGTTTGTAATTATTAACCAGTGGTGAAGTTATTGATTTTCTGCAACAGCTGTGGACTAGTAATGGTACTTACTGAAAGATGTACATGATGTATGCCTGAACTGCCACTCTCCTGGTAGGAAGCATAACTGGCCGAGCCAAGGGCATACACGGACGTACAGCATGGCGGCACTTTTACCATTCATCAAATTGAAATTGGATTAATGTATTGTGAATTATATATAAAACTAGTTTAATACCTGTAATGGAAGGTGGCGACTAATCTATTGTGTGCATTTTAGTGAATTTTGAACTTGGTTCAGAATGTCATTTTAGTCTTAGTCCCTGGATCATACATTTTTCCCTTCCGCCCTGCCCTTAAAATGCTTACTGTAATGCTGTAACTTAAAACCCCAAATGAAGCAAGTCTGGATGTTCTACAGGTTCAGTCTCTGAATTTCCCATCTCACTGGAGTTCCTTTTCAATTTAGATAGTTGTTTGTTTCTTTCAAAATTATATTTTTTCAGAGAATAATCATAATTCTAATGTTCTGTATATGGCTGATCATGCTGAAAGCGACATGGTAATTGGAAATGGATGCAGCCTGTCTGCTTGTGAATATACAGTGAGGCGTGATGGCTCACTGACAGCATCATTGTTGTACATAGGCTTAGTGAAGCCTGTACTGGTTACGTTAGACTAACATTTAGTCTCTGAAATCTAATATTACACAATATCCTTCTTGACTCTAAAAATAAAATAAAATCCCTATTCTGATTTCAGAATAGAGCTAGCTTGAGCTGGCTAGACTTGCTTTTGTATGATTTCTAGATTGATTTTTTTTCCATAAAATAAGTATATTCCACGGTCATGGTGCAGGACTATGGTTACGTCATTAGACGTGATTACTGTGCATATTTCATAGATATCATGACGTTATGGCTGGTATACTGTAAATCAGTAGGTTACGGCAAGCATGAAGTTCATGTGAAAAATGAGTGTCCCCTGCTCACATTAATAAAGTGACACATATTTATTCCGCCCTTTTGTCAGGTGTGGTCAGTTTGTCTACACAAGGTTGTCCCTGTTTGCTGTAAAAGGCAACTTTGCTTGTCGTAAGAGGCGACTAACGGAATCGGGTGGTCAGGCTCACTGACTTGGTTGAAGCATGTCATCGATCCCAATTGCGTGGATCGATGCTCTTGATATCAGTCACTGGATTGTCTGGTCCAGACTCGATTATATACAGACCGTCGTCATGTATATAGCTGGAATATTGCTGAGTGCGGCGTAAAACAACAAACCAACCAAAAACAACAACACAAGGTCATCAAATAGTTACGACAGTCACCAACCGTCTATGACGGCATGTTTGTTCTTTGCAATCTGGTCAAGTAGTCTTTTATCCAGGCAGAATACTGCTCACCCATGTAGGAAACCTGTCTAGTATTTCTAGCTTTTGATTTCACGGAGGTTCCCCAAGTCAAGCAGTTGAAGTTACTTTGTAATGGTCAGATACGATCATTTTCATTTCATTTGTTTGTTGATTAACACAGCAATATTCCAGCTATATGACGATAGTCTGTAAATAATCAATTCTGGAACAAACAATCCAGTGATTGATACATGAGCATCAAACCAAACAATAGAGATACAAAGACATGCATCTGCTAAGTCAGCAAGCCTGACCACCAAATCCCGTTAGTCGCCTCTTATGACAAGCATCGGTTGCTGAGGACCTAGTCTAACCCGGATCTTCACTTGTTAATATTCAATCAACAGCTGCCACCCCACACTATATCATGGGATTCTAAGCCTACAGTCTTGGTGTTATTGTTAGCTGATCTTGCTGATGGGTCTTTAAAGTTCAAAGGGAGGGCTAGTTGGATTGATTTCATGACACATTTTGAGCCAGGGTTCGACACTTGTATTAATTTGGTCAGGGATTTATTTCAGCACACAATTAAACAACACGAAATATATAGAAACGGTATAGTTTCCAGTAGTGAAATGACTGACACTGTTTCATGTTGTATTTTCAGCTAATGGTGTGAGTGAAGTGACTGATGGTCTGGATGGCCTTGACCTTGCCTCCAAGTACCGCTCCTGCACAGGTGTGTTGGCCTCGCATCCTGACAGTCGAGATGTCCACATCCACAACCTGGCCATCACTTTCCATGGTGTGGAGCTGCTGCAGGACACCAAGTTCGAGCTCAACGTGGGACGGCGATATGGCCTCATTGGCCTCAATGGATGTGGTAAGCTGTAGGGATGATATAGCCTCATTGGCCTCAATGGATGTGGTAAGCTGTAGGGATGATATGGCCTCATTGGCCTCAATTGATGTGGTAAGCTGTAGGGATGATATGGCCTCATTGGCCTCAATGGATGTGGTAAGCTGTAGGGATGATATGGCCTCATTGGCCTCAATGGATGTGGTAAGCTGTAGGGAGGATATGGTCTCATTGGCCTCGATGGATGTGGTAAGCTATAGGGAGGATATGGCCTCAGTGGATGTAGTAAGCTATAGGGACGATATGGCCTCATTGGCCTCAGTGGATGTAGTAAGCTATAGGGACGATATGGCCCCAGTGGATTAAGCTTTGGGGACGATACGGCCTCATTGGCCTCAGTGGATGTAAGCTATAGGGACGATATGGGCTCACTGGCCTCAGTGGATGTAGTAAGCTATAGGGACGATATGGCCCCAGTGGATTAAGCTATAGGGATGATACAGCCTCATTGGCCTCAGTGGATGTAAGCTATAGGGACGATATGGCATCATTGGCCTCAGTGGATGTAGTAAGCTATAGGGACGATATGGCCTCAGTGGATGTAAGCTATAGGGATGATATGGCCTCAGTGGATGTAAGCTATAGAGTCGATATGGCCTCATTGGCCTCAGTGGGTGTAGTAAGCTATAGGGACGATATGGCCTCAGTGGATTAAGCTATAGGGACGATATGGCCTCAGTGGATGTAAGCTATAGGGACGATATGGCCTCAGTGGATGTAAGCTATAGGGTCGATAAGGCCTCATTGGCCTCAGTGGATGTAGTAAGCTATAGGGACGATATGGCCTCAGTGGATGTAAGCTATAGGGATGATATGGCCTCATTGGCCTCAGTGGATTTAAGCTTTAGGGACGATAAGGCCTCAGTGGATGTAAGCTATAGGGATGATATGGCCTCATTGGCCTCAGTGGATGTAAGCTATAGGGACGATATGGTCTCATTGGCCTCAGTGGATGTGGTAAGAGGTGACTTGTATTTCACTGACAACAGGGCTAGTAAGTACGATCAAAGTCTTCAACAGGTTTAATGCTTAGTTTCACACTATTGCGTCAAATGCAATGTTCATGTTAAGATACCTCCAAATTTAAGAATGTTGAGCAAATACAATCCCTTTTTTAAAAACACACCAATTTTCCCCAATATTGCTTGCCCTTATGTTTCGAATCATTTCAAGAGGGGTGAGAATCTTGTGCGAATTTTAATGGTCACAAATTTGTTAAAATCATGTGGCTTCCCCCCTAAACACATCCAAATTATGGACCATGCACCATTGCAAAGATGTTTCAGCTGACAAGGAAAATATACATTCTCATCCCTGTAGATAAATCCCTGGTTATGATGTATGTATTTTGTCATTGACATGGAATATATACCACTGTTCATGCTGTTTGAGAGTCAGCTGTACATGTGAAGATTGTCTAATTACCAGGCTTATGTAATGTATAACATCAATGATCCATGTGTTACTGAATGTATCAACTACATTGTGTCATGAGAGCGGAGCTAATCAGGGTGTATCTGTAATCGGATATTAACGGTTCTACTACAGTTGATTGCGTAATTGGTATAGAGCATCATGGGTGGGCTTAGTATGTAATTAGGTCCAAATGTGCTGATTTCTATTATTCAGCCTTACACCATCTGGTACATACTCGTCTTGTCTATCCACTAGTTTATCCACTGGTATGAAGGACCCGTGAAGATTCCGGGGTAGAATAGGTCTTCAGCAACCCATACTTGCTGTAAAAGGCAACTATGCTTGTCGTAAAAGGCGACTAACGGGATCGGGTGGTGAGGCTCGCTGACTTGGTTGATGCATGTCATCGATCCCAATTGCGTGGATCGATGCTCATGATGTCAATCACTGGATTGTCTGGTCCAGACTCGATTATTTACAGACTGCCATCATATAGCTGGAATATTGCGGAATGCGGCGTAAAACAACAACAAACAAACTGGTATGAAGTCTGCCTAAAGTGTTGCAGCTGTCCAATCGAGACACTCTGCTCTTACTATCCAAAGTTGCTGTAGTCAAAATAGCAACTAAGCAAGAAAAGATATCAAGTTTTGGAACTGTAGACGATTCATAAATTTGTCCGGGTTTTGTGTCCACTCCTGAAGGTCATAACAAAATTATTAAATACTTATTGTAATTTGGGGAAGTTGATGGCTATGCACAGTTGGAGTAAGTTAGAAAATTACACCCTCTTTTCAAATATGACTGTTATTTGTGTAATACAAAGCCAGTATGATGATGTCTAGCAAAACAAATCTGTCTAACATATGAATATACAAGCATGCTGACAGACAGTATGATTCAGCCATAAGATAAACTTGGGGATTCAGTCTCAATGAAAAGGAAGAAGTCAAACTTTGTAAACAGGGTAGAAGATGGATTAAAAAATCTGCTTCATGTTCATGTTGGTACATTTGAGTTCCAAAGTGTACACCCCTTGTGGTGAATCTGGTGATTCCAGGTTGGGAAATGGGCCCAGCCACCTATGCTGGTTGTAAGTGGTGCCCAAATAATTGGGTGGTCAGTCTTTGTGACTTTGTTGATAGTGTGTCATTGGGCCCCTGCCGCATGAAACATTGTTCACAATATCAATCACTGGTTTGTCTAGTCCAGACTCGATTGTTTACAGGCTGGTGTTATTCAGGTTGATCATTTTTTAGTTTGGCCCTAACAAACACTAACAAGCGTGCATCTAAGCAACCTTGTCAGTGCCCCGTTCCCTGCTTGAACAGAAATACATTTCTATCCCTCACTGTGCTGACAACTTATTTTCACAGGCAAGTCGACGCTGCTCGCAGCTTTAGATCTACGAGAGATACCTGTCCCTCAGCATGTGGACATCTTCCTGTTGCGTCGCGAGATGGCCCCAAGCGAAAAAACAGCTCTTGAGAGTGTCATTGAAGTTGACGAGGAGAGATTGAGACTTGAGAAGGAAGCTGAAACACTTGGAGCAAGAGACGACCCAGGTATGCTATTTACTGGGCTTCACCGGAGCAGTTGTGCAGCCTAACTGACAGCAGCTATCACAGGAATTATACTTACATAGGGTCTTTATTGTAAAAATAACCTTGGCTATAGGATTTCCCATTAAGATAACAACCTCTTGGTGCCTGTTAAAAAGGAATTATTTGAGTTATTGAAGACATGTCAAATAGGTGAGGTAAATTAGTCGGAATCTTTGGAGTCAGAAATTCAGTATAAATCAAAAGGATTTCTGGTTAGATCTATTTCATGGAGTAGGAAAAACTGTAGACAATTTGTTGTGCAGTATATCCTATCTTTGTTCTTTTTTATATAAATACCCTGGGTCCTTTCACTTCAGTATCTTTCATTTTGTCAAGTCAAATTACACTCAGAGAAATTCTGTATTGTAGTTAGGTGGATATTGTGTCATCAGTTTGAAATGAAGATATGGTCCTGATGGTGACCAGTGTTTAGAGTGTAATTGTCATTGAGATACAATATGATGGATAATGGAGGATGCTGTAGACTTTGGTGAGGAATGTGTGTCCCGTTCATTCATACTATGTGTACCTCAATACCTTCTCTCTCACTGTCCAGAGTCCCATGAGCGTCTACTGGACGTGTATGAGCGCCTGGACGAGATGGACGCTGACAACGCTGTGACAAAGGCTGGCTACATCCTCAGTGGGCTTGGTTTCACCAAGGACATGCAGCACACAAAGGTAGCCATACTTGTTCAAAACTCTATAGGGGCGGTCGAGTAGCCTAGTGATTAAAACGTTCGCTCGTCACGCCTCCCACATTAAGCTGACACGCCGTGATATAACTGGAATAATGTTAAAAAGCGGCGTCAAACCTAACTCACTCACTTGTACATATTAAGGCATATTTTGGTGGCACATTTGAATATGACATAAACAAACACGTAATTATGTAGTGTGAAAAGAATCAACAACAAAGAGATAATATTGCTGTCACTGAGACATAAAATGTAACAGTATTTTAATTTCTAGCCTCTGGGACGATTCTGATGAAGTGACATTGCTTGTACATTCAATATCAAACATGGAATCTTTGTTGAATATGACTCCTGAATCACTTTTCTTATCCGTATAGACATCCGCACTTGTCAGTGCGGTCGGGTAGCCTTGTGGTTAAATCGTTCCCTCGTCACGCCGAAGACCCGGGTTCGAATCCTGACATGGGTACAATGTGTGAAGCCCATTTCTGGGGTCCCCCGCTGTGATATTGCTGGAATATTGCTAAGAGCGGCGTAAAACCAAACTCACTCAAAACTCTATACCTGTGCTGACACACCTGTGCAGAGTAATATTTACAGGTATTTTATATCGCTGTAGCTGGATCTTCATTCAGTGATCTGTACATTTAATAAAAGTATTCCTTTCGAATATTATGAATTGGAAAAAAAAGAAAACCCTTTATTGAGCATGTTTAGTGTCAAATTACTTTACACGAGTGGTGAATCCTGATAAATATTCATGTTCATGCAAGATGTATTTGTTACTGTGTTAACTGCATGTTATGTGCCCTCCCTTGATATTTCTGAAATATTGCTAAAAGCATCGTAAAGCCATACTCTCACTCACTCATGACCCATGTTATTTAACAAAGTGCGTAGTGTCTACAATGGGGACAAGTTTTTTCAAAAACTGCTGAAGTTAGCTTATGTGAGAGATACTTATCAAGACTGAGTTTGAGAATAAGTGCCATAAATTATTTTTTCCAGATAAGTGGCCTTTTGTGTGTATTAATTTCACATTTAATCATGTTTTGTGATGACATAAAGCGACCCTAGTGCCTATCTCTTCTTAAGGCTTTATAGGACTTTTAAAAAAAGTTAATTCACTACTGCTTGAACAAACAAAATTCTACTGGTCACCATGGCAGAGGATAGTGATAACACTGTTTTCTTGTTTCAAATTGTTTAATCCCTGATGTTGAAGGCGAGTCAAACATCTTTTGTGCTGTCATCTAAGGTGCCAGAATTCATTGTACAGAGGTGCGTTCTTTAGCATGTTCGGTGTGCCAGAAACGTATGATCCCGAGTCCCAGATTTTCTGATTATATAGGCCTGGCATACTATACCAACTTGCAATCCGACATGTATCACAGTACAGTTGTAACAGTTGCTAAATCAAACATTTATGTTAAGAATGAGGGGCGGTCGGTAGCCTGGTGGTTGAAGCGTTCGCTCGTCACTCCGACGACACAGGTTCGATTCCCCACGTGTGTGAAGCCCATTTCTGGTGTTCCCTGCCATGATATTGCTGGAATATTGCTAAAAACGGCGTAAAACCATACTCACTCGCTCACTATGTTAAGTATGATTATATTTACTTAGTGTGTGACTTTGATCAATACTTATGCCGGGAAATGAAAAGTCACGATGCACCGGTGTATCGTCCCTCCCCTACTGGTTATGTTGATAGGTTTGTCAGCACCAAACACTTTGGCTTCACCAAAATGAGAAACGTGCATCACTTGCAGTAGACACGTTGTGATATAACTGAAATACTGTCAGCAGGGTTAAACCCAACTGGTGCTCTCATAACCAAATCTTGAACAAACATGACAGTTGTGACTGCTTATGCTTTAGGTGAAGGATTTCTCCGGAGGTTGGCGTATGCGCATAGCTCTCGCTCGTGCCCTGTACATCAAACCAGCCCTGCTGCTGTTGGACGAGCCCACCAACCACCTGGATCTTAATGCATGTGTGTGGCTGGAGCATGAACTAGCCAGGTAAGATTTACATTACAGATACGCTACAAAAATAAAACTTGTGCGTATCATCAAAATATTGTGAAGTAACCCTGCATATTCGATTAGCAAATCAGCAACTTATTTTGAAATTATAAACGGGCATTCCGTCAACCTTGCCCAACTCCACGATGACAGTTACATCATGATCATTTGCCATCACACTTTCTTGTGGAAGTATTGTGGTATTTTTGAGTATAAAGCTCTCGAACCCACACGACACCAGTTTGCAGGGACTAGATGTATAGTGTTTTTAAATATTTAACTTAAATACCCACATGTGTAAAAACTAGTGGGTAACAGAAATTTGATTACCCAGATAGAATTACTGATACCCAATGATCTTAAAATGCATGGGTAAAATACCAACAACACCAAAAGCTTATCTGGAGCTCTGTACAATTGTCTTTGCACTGCTTTGTGGAACTGGGTCCAGGTATTCAGAAGTACGAGGGGCGTTCTATAAGTTTTGCAACTTCAATGTTAGACCAAGTCGCAGAATATCTTTTGCACTTTTATTTTTCAATATAATCTCCATTCACCTCAATACACTTATTCCATTTGTCCTTCAAGCTTTTAATACCACTTTTATAGAAATCCTAAAATTGGCCCTCCGACCACGCCTCTGTGGCACCCCTTATGTCCTCGTCATCCTGGAAGCATCTTCCACATAGGGCAGATTTCATTTCAACGCTCCAGTTCACAAGTCGAGAAATGCACAGGCCGCCATATGTGAATGTGGATTCGAACAAGTAAACCACCCACCCTACAGCCCAGACTTAGCCCCCAGTGACTATTTCCTGTTCCGGCAAATGAAATCTGCCCTACGTGGAAGATGCTTCCAGGATGACCAATATGAAAGATATTCTGCGACTTGGTCTTATATTGAAGTTGCAAAACGTATTGAACGTCCCTCGTATGTGAGGCAAGGACATGGCATCAGGGTTCTAGGTTGCTGGCCGACACTAGGAACATTCAGGAAGGACTAACATTCACACTCCGTCGCAGTGGTGACTCAGCATAACACCACTGCCACAGGCTAATTTGCATATCACGTGACCGGACTTTTCTCTTGTTTGTAGACAAACGCGCAAGTAGATTTTTACGTATTTGCATACTTTCTCAATGAAAGGGAACCATTCCCTGACATTTGTTTATGAAAATGTGTAGACTTGTCAAACATGAAACGGATGAAAAGCATATGCAATTTCTTGAATGGACTGTGAAAGATGTGACAAATCGGCCGCATGGAACTCTGGGTAGGAGAGTGACTAACACTAACACAGAATCCCAGTGATTTAAGTGATATTTGATTGGTTCCAAGTGTGTGAATTGCGCTCTATTTGATTCCAGCTACAAACGTATCCTGATAATCATCTCCCACTCTCAGGACTTCCTCAACGGCGTCTGTACCAACATCGTGCACATGCAGCTCAACAAACTCAAGTACTATGGTGTAAGCGCAGAGATGTACACAGTCTTAATGTTGTCTGACCCATAGGGATTCAACACCCAATGCTTGTTGTGTTAGCCTGTTGATGAGGATTGGTTGGTCGCAATGTGTGGCTGGTGGTGTGGTATGGTTACCATGGTTACCCGACTGCATGTCTCCATGTTGTTATGCTGTCAACCACTGGTTTGCCTTTTCCCGACTGGATTAAGGGTGACTTTTGGGGCTATTTTCACCATTGCGTTATTTTGTCAATAGTATTATACCAACTTCAAGGCTTGATAATTATATTAATCAAAGTTATACAAATGAATGAACTATTACTGACAATATCAAAGTCGACCATTTTCCTCCCCGTCTCTACTCGAACTGTAGGGAAGTAACTGTAATCTGAAATTGTTGTAATTCCTGCCAATGAACACACAACAGGTTTGAAATTTGACTGTAATACTGAGTTTTCTGACTTATGTGATATCTGTTCGATTTTTTTTAAATAGTTGCAACTAGTATACCATTGTGGCTTGTAAGAGCTAACGAACTATTACAATGACGGCTTGGGTTGGAATAGGTCTTCAGCAACCCATGCTTGCCGTAAAAGGCGACTATGCTTGTCATAAGAAGCGACTAACGGGCTCACTGACTTTGTTGAGGCATGTCATCGATTCCAATTGCGTCGATTTTTGTTCACGATGTCATTCACTGGATTGTCTGGTCCAGACTCGATTATTTACAGACCACCGTCATATAGCTGTAATATTGCTGAGTATGGCGTTAAACAACAAACAACAAACAAACAAACAAACAAACCTGGAATAATTATTAAGACTGCTAGGACCGCCTCTGTGGTCTAGTGATAGAGCGTCAGCCCGGAGAGCAGAAGGTCCGTGGTTCGATGCCCGGCCGCGTCATACCAAAAGACGTGAAAAGATGGTTCTTGTTGTTACCCTGTCTGGCGCTCGGCATTAAGGGGCTAAAACAAGGACTGCGGCATCTCTTTGAGTTAGCACTATAAATCAGCATCAGTCCAGACTAGTACAAGCAACCACACACACACACACACACACACACATACATACATGTGCATGCACGTCGCTATATAAGTGCAATAATCTTGGACGCGGCGTTAAACCCCATTTCACCTCACCTATTAAGACTGCTGGGATACAGCTGGACTGAGACTGCTGCAGTGTTAAGAATCACTGACTGACATGTGGATTCATTGTCTGTTTCTTGTTGATCAGGGCAACTATGACACCTACATGCAGACCCGGATGGAGCTGGAAGAAAACCAGATGAAGAGATACAAATGGGAACAGGATCAGATCTCCCACATGAAGGTGAGTTACCTCCCCTTGGTTGTCACACAATAACACGACCCTGTTGGTCTGTTCAGGATTTAGTCTATGACAGTAGTTTGGAACGTGATGACATAAAAGGCCGAGGTTCAGTACAGAGTTCTCTCCCTTGGAGATTGATGCTTAGTACAATGGTCAAACTTCCGTAGCGATTATTTTCTGATTCCAAACTACTGACAAACTGAGATAAGCATCCACAAATATTTGTTTGAAAAGAAGTACTTTCTTTATTTTGCTGAATGCAAACTTACTTTTTATCCTATAGTAGATGAATAGGTTGCCATGGTTACCATAGGTTACACCTCAAGACAAGCTTAGCTAACACTGCATATATAACACTATCATATTCAGATAACAGAAGAACAAGAAGAATCTGAAATGCCTTTTAATTTTTTTATAAACATTTTAACATTTTCACATAAGTCTGTAAAACCAAGAAATACAAATGCCTGGCCTTTGTGGAATGAACATCCATAGGTGTAACCTGGTAATAATTAAACACTACTTCTCAAAGGCACTTTGGAATGCCAAGATTAGGTCAGCCTGTTCTAGGGTCTGTTAATTTATTAATCACTCAAACAATAGTGATGTCTGTTCACTACTGACCGAAGTGCTTGTTACTGTGTAATACTGAACTGCAAGCACCCTTGATTCAACGTATTATAAGTATGTTTTGAAAGTTTGGAACGTGATGACATAAAAGGCCGAGGTTCAGTACAGAGTTCTCTCCCTTGGAGATTGACGCTTAGTACAATGGTCAAACTTCCGTAGCGATTATTTTCTGATTCCAAACTAGTGGCTAATACAAATTCGATCCCAGTTTTATTGAATTTGTTCTGTGTAAATATATTTACTTTGTATTAGAAATTGGCATGGTCAGTAGATGAATTGTTGTGAATAGTTTGTTAATTGTTGTTAATGACTCGATTATTTACAGCTTGAATATTGCTGGAATATTATTGAGTGCAGTGTTAAACGACCAATCGTTGTCAATATTTCAGCACTATCGGCCGCTAGTGGTATTTTTACATGGCATAAACGGCTCTGTTTTCACAGACTCTATTAGGGGACTGAAATGAAATGTTTGTTTTCAGAACTACATCGCTCGGTTTGGTCATGGCAGTGCAAAGTTGGCCCGCCAGGCGCAGAGCAAAGAAAAGACGCTGAAAAAGATGGTGGATGGAGGCCTCACAGAGAGAGTCACCTCTGACAAGGTGGGATGCACTGTTTGAGGAGTCTCCCTTCTCATCTACCAGTCATCGAAATTATGAACAAAAGTCATGAGGTCTTTGCCATATCGCTAATTGTGAAAAAGTGAACACGTTGGTTGTCCCTATTGTCTGTCATACAGGGGGCGGTCGGGTAGCCTAGTGGTTAAAATGTTCGCTCGTCACGCCAAAGACCCGGGTTTGATTCCTGACATGGGTACAATGTGTGAAGCCCATTTCTGGTGTTCCCCGCCATGATATTGCTGGAATATTGCTTAAGAGGCGTGAAACCATTCTAACTCCACTCCACTCCACTCCACTCCACTCCACTCCACTCCACTCCACTCCACTCCACTCCACTCCACTCCACTCCACTCCACTCCACTCCACTCCACTCCACTCCACTCCACTCCACTCCACTCCACTCCACTCCACTCCACTCCACTCACAGACCCTGAAACAAATTTGTCCCATACAGCCCACAGAAGTCTATAATATTTGGCAAGTCTAGTATACTGCAGTATGAAAATGAAGAAAGTGTCTGGTTTCCTTTTTATTATATTTTATAACTATAATTTAACAACTTTTTGCTGTAAAATAGTTCATTTCAGAGACTAGATGTTAGTCTAGGGTCCCTAGATTTATGTACTATTGCAGAAATCCCTCTTCTTTTTTCAGACCCGTGAAGATTCCGGGGTAGAATAGGTCTTCAGCAACCGATGCTTGCCGTAAAAGGTGACTAACGGGATCGGGTGGTCAGGCCCACTGACTTTGTTGATGCATGTCATTGTATCCCAATTGCGTGGATCGATGCTCACGATATCAATCATTGGATTGTCTGGTCCAGACTCGATTATTTACAGACCACCGTCATATAGCTGGAATATTGCTGAGTGCGGCGTTAAACAACAAACCAACCAACCAATTTTTCACTCTTTATAATAGAAAGAGATTTCCATGAAATAATCCAACTGAAACCTTGGACATTGCTGTATTCCAGACGCTGTCATTCTACTTCCCAAGCTGTGGGAAACTGCCACCCCCTGTCATCATGGTGCAGCATGTCAGCTTCAGATATAATGACAAGAAGGTCAGTCTTTATTCTGCATCCTTGTAGTGTTGATAGGTGCAGCTGGGATCTCTGATTTACCACCTCCCATGTCGTCATATACCGTATTCAACGTAATAAGCGCCCAGGGCGCTCTCAAAATTTGAAATAGGGGGCTCTTATTAGAATAAAATTTTGTAAGTTGAAAGATTGTAAATGTCCTGGTTTATGACAGCCTGAAATGATACAAAATAAAAGTCTGTGTGTATTTATACACGAATAAATAAGTCTTGTGTACAATCGGAAGGGCCGCTAATTGGGATTGTTCACTAGCCAATATATTAGCAAATATCGCCCTGGGCGCTTATTAGAGCGGGGCGCTTTTTACGGTGAATACGGTAGCTTGAATATTGCTGGGTGCGGCGTTAAACAAAAAAACTAGCTTGATACACAAATTTTATTAAAGGTGATTTTGTAAGGCTCATTTAGGGCTGCTAATGCTTATGGTTGAATTTGACATTGTGTTAGCATTAATGCATGCTTTGTGTGTGCAGCCCCACATCTACAAAGATCTGGACTTTGGCGTTGACTTGGATACCAGAGTGGCTTTGGTGGGACCCAATGGAGCAGGAAAGACCACTCTTCTCAAGCTGATCACAGGAGATGTAAGATTGTTCTCTTGATTAACTAGCAATTAAATCTTGTGGCTGTGAAGAGGATTTTAGATCATGTTATAGAATGTGGACCGCCTCCGTGGTCTTGTGGTAGAGCGTCCGCCCAGAGAGCAGAAGGTCCCGGGTTCAGTTCCTGGCTGCGTCATAGCAAAAGACGTTAAAAGATGGTACTGGTCGGCTCTGATTCAGTATACTGTGTCTGAGAGGGGTATTCATGTTAAACTGCAGCATGGTATCTCAGTGAACTAGCACTATAAATCAGCATCAGTCCGGACTAGCATGCACGCCTGACGTTAAACCCAATTTCACCTCACCTGTTAGAATGTGTCCATTGACCGCCTTAAGTGAGCCCATTACATCATGCAATAATGAGCCACTAGATGACTCTGGGTATAATGTTCTCACAGAGTCATCTAGTGGGGCGTTGGGGTAGCCTAGTGGTTAAAGCGTTTGCTCGTCATGCCGAAGACCTGGGTTCGATTCCCGACATGGGTACAATGTGTGAAGTCCATTTGTGGTGACCCCTGCCGTGATATTGCTTGAATATTGCTCAAAGCTGTGTGAAACCATACTCACTCTAGTTTTACTTGCCACTGAATTGGTTGTTCACGTGGTTCACATGGTGGCATGTGGTACTGTGTACAGTGCAGAGTCACAAATCAGGTGAAGTCAAGCAATATTGTTCGCAGCGAGCCCTTGGATGGGTGGCCGTGTTCGGCAGCTTGGCTCCTGAGAGTTTCTCAACTCCTGCCCCACACTAAAGCACATAGAATATGTGGTGTCTCATTGGGAAAGTGACTTTGTTCGAAATGTGCCTCTGTGCACCAAACAGTGAATGGGTACCCGGTAGGATGAGATGGACATGTGGCTGTTAACCTTATAGCGCCTCCAAGGCAGTTTGGGTTGTATACTCCTCAGGGAGCTGAGAATGAAAATTGAGTGCCCATTGATCAGGGTAATAATACACTTGGAGCATGATATCCATCATGGAAAAAGTGTCATACAAATGGACGATGATGATTTTATTTTTTTTTTTAATTTTAACTTTTATCTTTATTATTATTTTTATTTTAGCTTGTGCCAACAGAGGGTTTGATACGTCGACATTCGCACTTGAAGATCGGCAGATACCACCAGGTAATAAATGAGGCGGACCAGCTTACACTTGGTGTGATCTACCCATGCTTTCATTACGTGTTCACTGGACTAAAAGATTTAGTGAGGTGATGGCATGGCCTGCCTACCTGCAATCCCGTTGGTGATCACCTTCGAAACAAACAGAAGCTGAAACCTTTTCCTATGAATTCATGAAATTGTACCAGTCTTAGGTTGTGCAATCAGATTTGTCAGTGAATGTCTTTTGACTACCTATTAGAATGCTTATACCTTGTGTGATATAGGTTAGTGTAGATCCGGGGTAGAATAGGTCTTCAGCAACCCATGCTTGCCGTAAAACGTGACTATGCTTGTCGTAAAAGGCGACTAACGGGATCGGGTTGTCAGGCTCTCTGACATTGCGTGGATCGATGCTCATGATATCAATCACTGGATTGTCTAGTCCAGACTCGATTTATTTACAGATCGCCGTCATATAGCTGGAATATTGCTGAGTGTGGCGTTAAACAACAAACCAACCAACCAACCAATGCTGTAAATATTTTCAGATCTGGTCCTTATGATCAGCTTTTCATAGGCTTTGTGCAAACAAATTGTTACTGTGACAACATCAAGAGGATAAGATGATTGTGATTTCGCCTTGTGGTCTGACTGTTCTGATGATGTCCAAACAACTTTCACACTAACTCCCTTAGAGCGTTGGGGTAGCCTAATGGTTAAAGCGTTTGCTTGTCATTCCCAAGACCTGGGTTCGATTCCCCACATTGATACAATGTGTGAAGCCTATTTCTGGTGTCCCCAACCGTGATATTGCTGGAATATTGCTAAAAGCGGCGTTTAACCCACACACGCTCTCACTCTCACTTCTGTTTGTCCAGCATCTCCATGACCAACTGGACGTGGAAATGTCCGCCCTGGACTACATGATGAAGTGCTACCCTGACATCAAGGATAGGGAGGAGATGAGGAAGATCATCGGACGCTTCGGTCTCACCGGACTACAACAGGTAGAGACACTATTGCAATTGCATGATCATTTTCAAGCAGATGAACTGTTATTACAGGGCTGATAGGTTGGTCCAGTGGATGCTGATGGCCGCTCAGCCGTTGTCTGGCTGTACTGTGTAGTATGCTAACAGCTGGTTTGATGAAACTTGACCATTGGATATAAAAAAAATAATGTTATGATCAACGATTTTTACTTTTAGCATCATAGAAAATGTAACTTGCAATACTGTTTTTAAGGATTTTTATCGAATTTTATCTGTAAACCATGTAGAAAAATCTGTAGGGCCTAATGAATGTGAGTTATAGCTTTATGGAATCTGTGTCATAGCCGCAAATAGCTGGAATGTTGCTGATGCAGCTTAAAGCAACATTTACTCACTCTAAAGTCATCCGACTTATCACTTTATCAAAAGTGTTTGATTTGTTATTTACAACACTATTGGTTGTGTTTCAGGTGTGTCCCATCAAGAACCTTTCTGATGGTCAGAGATGCCGTGTGACCTTCGCCTGGTTGGCTTGGTCGTGTCCTCATCTGCTGCTGCTTGATGAACCTACCAACCACTTGGATCTGGAGACCATTGACGCACTTGCCGACGCCATTAATGAGTTTGATGGTGGAATGATCCTCGTCAGTCACGACTTCAGGCTTATATCACAGGTAGGAGGGATTCTCTTCATGACTGGTTTCTTTGTTTGTTGTTTAACGCCTCACTCAGCAATAGTCCAGCTATATGACGACAGTCTGTAACTAATCAAGTCCGGACCAGACAATCCAGTGATTGACATCATGAGCATCGGTCTGTGCATTGGGATGCGATGACATGCATCAACCAAGTCAGCGAGCCTGACCATCCGAGCCCACTAGCCACCTTTTACAGCAAGCATTGGTTGCTGGTCTCTGTTTGATGGATGGGGAATGCTTTCGTTGGTTTGGAAGATGAAGCACTCAAACTTTTTATAACAACTGGAATATATTCGGTGACAGTTGTAAGGTACTGACTGCATTGTTGTTTGTTTTCAAGTTAGTGACTTGAGATACAGAAGCCTGGAAAATGGAAAACAATGTTAAGTTTCCTTTTGTGGTCTTGAATCTCACACATGCTCAAAAAGCACTGACAGTTACCCGGGTATTCCAGTTACATGGCCTTATCATTTCGTATCTCTTGTGTCATTCTGTAATCTGCTAGTTTTGTATACCTAAGGCCATTCAGTTGGAAAAGAAATATATCAAACATAAAAATATTTATTTTTATTATGTCTCCCACCTGTATAGACCCTCTTATAAAATGTTCTATATCAGTTCCATGTCTGGCAGCTGCAGTTTTAACTCCATGGCAGAATGACTTGTCCTATAAACGACTGTCTCAGACAGGCTTCTATTATATGGCTAGAGTATTGGTGACTGCAGTGTCAAACTAGGAATGGTCTGTGGGAAAAGGGGGCCACGGGTGGCCCAGTCGTCTAAGGCGCCGCAATTCGCTGTGCAGAGTTGCGTCTCTTGGGCACGCCAGAAACCTATGATTGTGGGTTCGAATCCCGGTTAGCCCTGATTATGTTTCTAGGTTTGTCAGCACCATACCCGTGCTCGTGGGTTTCACCGAAGTGGTAAATGCTTTCCTCCCACATTAAGTTGACACGCCGTGATATAACTGGCATACTGTTAAAAGCGGCGTTAAACCCAACTCACTCACTCACTCACTCACTCTATGGGAAAAGAAGTGCTCTTGTATCATAGCATTTGACTATTATTGTGTACTGTTGACCTGTGTTTCAACTGATGTATTTTTTTTTAGCTGAATGACAACCCACACTTTTCTTGACTGTAACATGTATGGTATTTCCAGTCGATGTTCTCAACTTAAGGTCCATATTTTGCTTGTATTTCTCAGGTTACAGAGGAAATTTGGATCTGTGAGCACCAGAAGGTCACCAAGTGGGACTCTGATATCTTCTCATACAAGGAGCACCTTGCCAAGAAGGTTCACAAGGATATGGCAAAAGCAGCCAAAAACTTGAACGTACGAAAATGATGACGGCTTCCATTTAGGAAATTTGTGTGAATGATCTTTGGTAATTCTGGTTTCAAGTCTCCAGACTTCATCTGCATATTCCAACTTTTGACAAAAAACATTGAGGTGAAACTTATGCTCGCATTTCAAGCCATGCAGGTCTGTCGTGACCCTTGATCTTGCAGTGGAATTTTTGTCCAAGGCAATATTTACCTCATTCCTGGACAGTTATGTTACACTGAGTCTGAACCTAAAGAACACTATTTGAAGACAGGAGGAAGGATGGGAACTCTACCTTATCAACAGTTACAGCTACCACATTGTGGAACTAATTAAAATGGACAGGGGAAAAAAATGAAAAACTAGTCACACCTGTTTGAAGGATGATCCAACAGTGACTTGAAAAAAAAACAAGAATAGATTCAGTGCATGGTTGGGGCTTCTAGTATGATTATATGGTGATGACTTATAAGCACATCAGTGATGTACTGTGTCACAAATATACAGTGACTTTCTACAGTGTACTTATTGATACCGAAACTGTCTTCACTGCAACTTTCCGGCTTTACAAGTCGAGTTGGGAAGGGTTTTGTACATAGCCGAAAGGGAGGTGCCTTCTTTGGGCGTTCCAGATCACACATGATGCTTCTATTTATTAACTTATGAACTACGCCATCACTGCATTTGCTGCATTGCTGTCAACACCTCCACCTACGCATGGGATGTGAAGATACAGACATCTAGCCAGTGTGGTGATACTTGGTGCTGACAACAGCATGGATGTGTTCTGGATGTCAGTGCTTCAACTGCCAGCCTGCACGTTCACATTGATGACAGTGGAACGGAAACCCAAGCCTGCTTAATGCTATGACGGTCATTACTCCTATAATATAACTTCAAGCATTTTATCTCATTGTGTGTCCTTTCCAAATGCATGTACAACACATACTAAATTGAAAGTTTTTATCATGCAAAAGACATAATTAGCTGTGCTTAAAGTGGCATTAGTAATTTGTGACTACATTTTCGGGGTATGAGGGTAGTGCCTCCTAAATAAGAACTTGGCGTTGCCTCACGTTAGAACAATACCTTTATATCCTGTCGTCTTTCTGTCTGTTTCTTACAGTCTTAGCATTTGTAAAGTTTTAGTCCCAGAAACAAATTTCAAACCTAACTTGATGTAACAGTTTTGTTTCTTGTAAGTATTTGTTTTTGAGCATGGTTCACTGAGATGGCGACTAGACTTTGCTGTTATGATGTTGCAAAGGGCTGTGATTCTTCGTTTTCCTTAGGCAAGTGTTGACATATTATTCTATGACCATGAATGTAGCGTTGTCACAGCTGGCATAGTTACACGGATTAGCAGATGCTGTCCAAGTGGGGTTTTATTAAAGTTGGTGCCGATCCTGCACAGCATGTATTCTATCTAGATGACCTGTGACCTTGCATCCCTTGTCACTACCCTGGACTGCCTCAAAAGAACAAAACCTCTAGTGTAATATATTGTTTTAGGTCTCGCAAGGTCTCGTGTCTCAGTCCATCTCAGTGTGCAATTTGGATTGTACATAGTATACACAGTTGCGAAATAATCTATTGCCAATAGTTTTTAGTTATGTTGTCGTGAACCAAGACGTGAACTTGTGAGACCTAGTCACCTTATCATTGCTTATGGTTTTTATTTCATCATTGCCTATCTCCACACACATATCATTTTGGTGCCAGCAAGGGTTGAATGTGAAAATGTGTTTCTAAAAAATTCTTATTTTTATCGCATAAATGTAACATCATTATCTTAAAGATATCGACGTAGGTTTTCAGTTAAGGTATCATATATTAAATTTTTAAGGCAGTTTTTGATTGAAAATGTCACATTTTACTTGGAATTCCCCCCAAAATCCAAATTTGAAATTATTCCCAGTGTATAATACTTTTAAAGGTTGTTTTGCTGATTTGGTCAATAAAATGGTAAATCTAATGTTTATATAAGGATATGATGTTTTAATCATGTTTTCAAACCTTACAAGTGTCATCCTTTTTTTTCACTTAATCGAAGTTTGGGCTGGGGTTTATTACGACCTTTACGAATTGTAAGATTTCAGAAAACGTATTTGTAAATATGGCTATTTGAATGTTGGAGTTTGTCAATACTCTTTAGGGCAGTTCAGTGCTTGTGTTCCCAAACACAAATGTGATATTTTAGGCCTATATACAATTTACATGTTTCTTTGTTTTATTCCAATTCCTGTAAATCTGATATTACTAAATATATACTAATTCTTGTTTAAAGTGAAATCTATCAAATGTAAGGTGAAATTAAATTAAATTTGGTTATAAAGTTACTGCTGATTGTGTTACATTTGTGACGTTTTCTGGTTAAGGTCTTGTATGACTGGGTCACCCATGAAGGCAAAGGCCCTATCACTCTTCCTGATTGTGATTCTTGGTTTGTCAGCCTCATACCTGTCCTCGTTGGTTTTCACCAAAGTGGTAAACATCTGAGACATGCTTCACTTTGGGCTCCCCCTCACCCCACCCCCCCATTGAGCTGACATGCTGTGACATATAGAGGATATTTCAAATATCTACTTTTCCCCGTCACAAGATGAGAGAAACATGATATTTCATGAGAAACACAGTATGTCCTATTTTTTACATACTTTGTGTGTTGTAAATTCTCCCTACCTTACATATATGAACATTCACCATCCCTTCTAATTGTCCCCCGCCGCGCGAAAGCGCGAAGCGGGGGATATAGTATTCACGACCGTACGTCTGTCCCACCTGTTTGTTGCCGCGATATCTCAAGAACTAATCGCAGGATTGTCTTCATATTTGGAACTATGGTGTATATAAAGACACCAGTCGGTTTTGGTGACCTTGACCCCATTTTCAAGGTCACAGCAGGCAAATCTGCTTTTGGAGTTGGAAAACGGTGTTGCCGCGATATCTTAAGAACTAATCGCAGGATTGTCTTCATATTTGGTACTATGGTGTATATACAGGCGGGGGACATTTCGTCACTTTGTGACAAATACTTGTTGTGACTTAAAATAGTTTTGTGTTTTGTAAAATCTTAAATATAAACAAAAGTAGAAAAAAATATTTAGGCTCACGAAAATTCTTCATAATACATTTGACCCGATCGGGCATAGAATAGGTCTTCAGGAACCCATGCTTGCCGTAAAAGGCTACTATGCTTATCAGAGGCGACTAAAAGGATCGGGTGGTCAGGCTCGCTGTCTTGGTTGATGCAAGTCATCTATCCCAATCGTGTGGATCGATGCTCTTGATGTCAATTACTGGATTGTCTGGTCCAGACTCGATTATTTACAGACTGCCATCATATAGATGGAATATTGCTGAGTGCGGCGTTAAACAACAAATCATAATAATTTCAGATACAAAATCAACTTAAACAAAAAATATTCTTGAAAACTAGAAGACCGCTGTTGGAAGCGAAAGAATACTCACTGGTCAAGTAACAAAAATTGCTCTTTTCGAAACGAAGAGTCTGTTATGCATCCTAACCACAGTGAACAGAGACATAGGAAGCTCCTGTAAAGATGAATTGAAACTACCAATAGAAGCAACTCTTGCCCACTTGATCCTCGTCCCATAAACACCGAAATACCCGGTCAGAATTCTGTATATGAGCAGCACAGCCCTTGGAACTAGCATCTGAGAAAACAGTCAAAACTGGGTAAACATTATCTCTCCAGAATCCAGTTCCAAAAAACACAGGGGGTCATCTGGACTTTGCTTTCTATCTCAACTTGGGTATGGTTTTACGCCGCTTTTAGCAATATTCCAGCAATATCACTGCGGGGGGGACACCAGAAATGGGCTTCACACATTGTACCCATGTCGGGAATCGAACTCGGGTTTTCCGCGTGACGAGCGAACGCTTCAACCACCAGGCTACCCGACCGCCCCGTGAAACAATAAAAACGTTGTGTAGACTTTCAACTGACCAAGAAAAGCCTGTGTTGACTAGGGTGAATATCTATGTGGTGATACCGAGACTTAAGATCATTCGTGTACATACATCCACAAGGTCTTAACGAAATCCAAAGCAACCTTGTAATCCCCAAAGATCTTTCCAAACATATTTATTTACAATTCTTAAGTCTAAAATCAACCTTTCCTTACCAGAGCTTTGAATTGAAACTGATAGGGGGTTCACAACCTGAGGTGAGTCTATGACTTCAATAATAGTTGTTTAACATGAAATCCTGGAGACAAAGTCGCTATGTTTTACAGCAGAAGCCTTGTTCGTACTACAAGACAAGGGAGGCGATGCCACAAAGGGGATGCTGTAACCTTCAAGCTGTGAAACATCAAGCTGTGACCTACTACTAGGCTGTTTTGAGATTGAACGGGAGACCTGTGGCAAATCCATGCTAGTTTTTCTTTGAATACTTCTGCTTGAGGTCTGATCCCCTGAGTAATCACTGCTCCTCTGCAGGCTGAAGTCCTTGTGGTGGGTTGACATTACTTGACTGTGATGACCTCTGGGCGGCTGCAAAGGGACATGTGGCTCTCCAGTGCCCGAAGTCTCCGCAAAAGTAGCATTGTTGGTTTGGAAGTAGTGTTTTCCAAGGTTGAAAACAAAAGGGCTGGTTCTGCTGAACCTGAGGGGCCTGTCAAGGTAATTCGCTGTTAGGATTAGGGAAATTTGCAGAAGGATGAGGACTATAGCCTCTACCATAAGATTTGAAAGACGTAGGGCGCTTTCTGCGCTGTGCCTTACTTTCTGCTCTCTCGAAACCTCTCTCTTCATGCGAGTTTGAAGCCAACTCATCCCCTTCCAACTCCGAGACTACTGCCCAACAGACTGGAGATCTGTCTGCAAGTCTAATGTGCTTGTTTCTTTTTCTTATGTTAGAGCTAGATAGATGGTCATCTGTTCTCAATATCTTGTATTGCCCTCATTTGAGTTCATAACTACGGTTGCCCATAAGGGACACGGAGTCTGTTTTTCAATATTTTGATATTTCACTTACATTTATCGTAACCTTTTGCAAATTAACACGATTTGTCTTACAAATATGTGATAAATCATGTGTAAAGAAGATATTGAATCGCCGAAAAACGAAACGAAAATGTCAAAAACTAAAATGAAAATGTCAAAAACACAAAACGAAAATGTAAAAAACGAAAATGAAAATACCGTATAATGGCTCTAGTCGTGGCAACTTCCAAACTTTCGGGAAGTTGTAATCTATCGGACCGTCATTCGGGCGATGTTTCTGACAGATCACGATCTGAAGAATACTATCATGAAAGTGTATCCCGTGGATAAGCCGACCCCTTTCTACAGAATCTTTTTTCTGGTCCTCAAAATTCGGCTTATACGCGGTCATATACGGTACAGAAAACTATTTCTACCGCGGTGATAATATTTACACCGAGGTGAAAACTATTTCCACTGCGCTGATAATATTTACACCGCGGTGGAAATAGTTTTCTGTGTATTCATTTTAGTTTTTGACATTTTCGTTTTGTGTTTTTGACATTTTCATTTTAGTTTTTGACCTTTTCGTTTTGGTTTTTGACATTTCCATTTTAGTTTGACATTTTCACTTCACATTCCAGCGACTCAAAAGCTACTTAAAAGTACACTTTCTATGTTTTCGGATGTTTATATACATGATTTATCACATATTTGTATGGCACATTGTGTTAATTTGCAAAAGATTTAGATAAAAGTAAGTTAAACATCAAAATATTGAAAAACAGATTCCATGTCCCTTATGGGCCACTGTACATAACTGACTGGCATCATCGTCCCATAGAAGCAGTCAGATCATGAATTGTGGCCAAACTTGTGTACGTTGCAGTTGTGGCCATGCTCTGTGACCTTAACAACGTTGACGTCGATGCAGGTCCGTCAAAATGACACCTCGAACTGGTCGTCTAGCGCGAATACCTTTGTTGGGTAAACGGTTCCTCATTGTCTGTGCTGATATTCTACGCAATCCAGGTATTGTCGTTGTAGGGCTGGCCGTGGTGGTTCTTTCTCATAAGTGACGTAGCCGTATGAATCTCTGTCCCGTGCTCCTGGAGTGAACAATCTGATCTGGAAAGGTCCCGTGTGTCTGCAATGGTGCTTGATGCTACGTGGAAAAAAGTGGCTACGGCTGAAGAAGATCCTCCTGTTTGCAGACGGCTGATGGCTATGTTGCGTTTGGCTTCCGTCGGTCCTGGCATGTCTTCGATGTTCGCTTGCTGAAAGATTGTGAGGGCATTCAAATGAAAACCCAACGTTTTTATAGCCCTAGTGATGTTACACGTGCATGTTGGTGTGTTTTTGCGATTTTTACATCTTTTCACCAAATATCTCCAGTAACTCACTCTTTCCACAAAAATCCACCACAATCCATGCAGAAAAAATAACCAATTCATCTTGGTATTGATATCGGTATAAATATGGAGGTCGGCAACACTGTCAGATATTTACTACTTTTGCGATTCTGTATATTTACAATGCATGGTACACGGCTCTTCATAATTTCGTGGGGTCCAAAACAGTTTATTTTGTCAATCGCTTGCACGTTGAAAATACATGACGGGGATTATAGGAAATAAAGAGCCCTGAAAAAGGATATGTGTTTACCTTATTTGTTTCTCCTCATATTTTATGTAATTGCTTACAATATGAACATTGTTATAGGTAGCCTGATGTGTAATTTTTTCAGCTGAGGTTTATGCAAATATTTAAAAATATTTAATGTTTCATTTCCCAATGTAACGTCATGTACCCGAGATCAACTATAAAACGTCCGCAAATCACAGAATGCGGGTTCGAATCCGCCCGAGACACACATTTATCGGAAAATGTGAAATTATACACTTGTCAAAATATGTTTAAAAATAGTTCCGCCTTTTCAAAGTGTAAATGAATTGAAATGTTGGTTCAAGATAATGAATAATTGACAAAACAACCCTCTCCATTTATGAAAAGTAATGGAACACTTAAACAATAGAATGACGTCACGGATGTGTTTTACCACTGTCAGGCCTCCACTAGGTCCAACAGCAACGTATTATATATGACTCAGGGGATTTCTTCTATAGCTTGTAACTGATTTCATAACATTTTGTTTTTATCATGAAAGTTGTTGAAATATCTGTGGGCATGGACTGGGCCTATTATTGGAATGACCCCATCCAGCACTGCTTTCAGATCCTCCTCCTTTGGAAATTTGACATCATTGTGTCATTAAATGCTTCACAGACATCTCTCGGGCACTTCTAGACAGTTGATTTCACAACTCCAAAGAGATTTGCAACGGTCCTGGACTCGGCAGAGGATGCAAGCCAGTAGACTGCTACAGCTACTTTATGGTCAATGTCTAAACGTTCCCGAACTGGCACAGACTCATTGGACAGGGATTCCTGCAGTTCCTGACAAAGGAAGTAAAATGTTCCACCCAATCTTTGGTTTAAACTTTCCTATTACGATGTCATTCGATCAGGCTCTGGACCTCTGTTTTACCCAGTTTTCTCACCCGAGTGATACCCAGTGCTAACCCTCTTGTCTTCTCTTCACAATGAGTAACGTGTTCAGCTTGGTTTTGAGAGTGAGTGAGTGAACTACTCTGAAACTTACACCAGCATATATATTTTGCACACAGTGCAAAGTATATTTACTTTTGCTTATTTGTGCAAATTTATTTCACATGTTAAGATACTCCAGTGTATATATTTTGGCATCTGAACAGGTGTAAGATGAATTAGGTAGTGCCATGGTTGAGTGCCAATGCAATGTTAATTTGATTAAATTAGGCAGTGGTGACACGAGATGAGGAAACAACAGCTGTTCAAATGAGCTGAGGATAACTTGTGGTGTCATATGACACAACTGTAAACAACGTGCAGATTCTAGCTTCGTAGCAGGGAATAAGGGATTTATTCTCCAGCTCAGAAATCCATGTGCAGCCTGTTTTCTTCCTGGTGAGTATAGGGATTTTTTCCCCGCTCAGCAATTTACTTCCTGATGTCCTGATGACTGATGAGGTGACCTGATGGATTGGGTGGTCGGTCAGGCTAAAAAGTGACTTGGTTGATTGCGTTGTTCTCAGTTTTAACCACTGGATTTTCAGACCCAAACTTCATTTTTTACAGGCCATGGTCATTTAGCTCAAATACTGCTGTGTTGCATTAATCCACAAGCATGCACGCACGCACACACAATTTAAACCCAGTTAGGCAGTCATTTAACTCATACATATTTTCTCAAAAATTCTTATATATAATGATTTCAATTTTTAAACCATCTGCAATGAATATATACTCACCACAAAAAGAAGCATGAAACATATCTTAACAAACATCCTTCTCTATATGTGTATATGGTTCATGTTTTTTTTTGCGGTGTTGTGTGTCAGGGAACAGATTGATCCTCATGAGTAGACCCCTAATGCACCTTACTCATTCATAAAATAAACAACATTTTCAATTTCACACAATCACTTTTTATATCATAATTTTTTTTACTGTTAGGAAAAGCGTTCTAGTAACAATTTGAATCTTAAAAATACAATAAAATACAAGTAATGTAGACTGCAATTGTTAATGAGACTGAAAGATTAAACAAGGAACCGAAATTAGATAAATTGATCCTTTTGATTTACCAGTAAACTTAAAAAGCACCACTGAGAGCTGCAAATGTGAACAGAAAGAGCAGCTCACACCTCATGCTTTCACAAGAGTTGCAATGACAAACTGCTAAAGCAAGTACTGAAAAAACCCAAAGTGAGTCAGAAACGTTATAGAAAACTCTGGTTGCAGAGGATGCTGCTGAAGACGAGAGAACTTCTCCAAACACATCCCTGTGGTTCAGGAAAGTTCAGTCTTTTATACAGTGTCTCTTCATCGATGGACCGTGGGAGCATTATGCCACACTCGCAGGATGTTGGTTAGTCACAGTGAACTTGTAATGTCATTGAACATGATAATACTTTCCTCGAACTTCAGGCCTCATTATGTAATCAATCAAGAGTCCTCACAAAACAAGCATGGCACTCGATATTTTCTCAGGTACATAATGCGCAACTTTAGAGATATGTTGAGTACAGTGAAACCTTGCATAGCCAAAAAAGTTAAATTCTACTGACATAAATCTCATGTTGGGCCAGCAATTAACGTCTGAAGTACATTCTCAAATATCTTACTGGTCCAGTTAATATGTATTTTTGTAAGTTTCCTTTATACAGCCAAATCCTGGAGCTACGTATTGTTGTTCCATGTCTCTACAAAGCCATGGATTAATAACAGAACATTTCTACCGGTTTAAAGCTATCCAAGGTGCCACAGTATATGCCATCACAGTTTGCGGTGACAGAACAAGAGCCTGAAATAGGGGGAATATGCGATCGTGGGTCTTCAACCAACACTGGGACATAGCTCGGCATGATTCACAGGTCTTTCCTCCATCCCAGTGGTATTATCATTGCAAGTCTGGTAAATCTGAAACACAAACAAGACCATTATTACTACAAAACACAGGCTATGGAAAGGTTTTACTACACATTGGGAATGAATAAAACTCTCAGAAATAGGTGTGGTGAAATGGGGTTTAACGTCGCATTTAAGACTATTGCACTTACATAGCAACATGCGTGCATGCGGCTGCTTGTACTATGACTGATGCCGATTTATAGTGCTAGCTCACTGAGATACCATGCCGCAGTTTAACATGAATACCCCACTCAGACACAGTATACTGACTCCAGGCCGACCAGTCCTTGTTTTAGCCCCTTAATGCCGAGCGCCAGGGCAACAACAAGTACCATTTTTTAACGTCTTTTGATATGAGGCATCCGGGGATCGAACCCCGGACCTTCCGCTCTACCACTAGACAACGGAGGCAGTCTGTCAGAAATAGGAAAACATTATTGTCTCGTCAAAGCTGGATTAGCAAAAAACTCTGTGGACTAGTGAAATAACGCTTCCTAGTGAAATAACGCTTCCACAAGTCGTCTGGACTAGTCTTGAAAAAGACGAAATTTTGACAGTTATTATAACCAGCCACACGTATCAGCATGTTCAAATCCTACAAGATTTACACAGTTGGATACCATGACGCAAATATAAAGATAGTTCAAAGAGAAGTCAAATTATATAGTGTTTAGGCCAGACCAATTTAATTGCTAGGATTACGGATTTTTTCGGGTAAAGTGGCTGAATGGAGGAGGGAATGTAAAAAAAAAAAAAAGTCCTTGAGAGAAATTTTTTTCGCAGGTATTACGGATTTTAGGAGGCAGGAATGCTGATAGGAGGAAATAAAAAAAAAAAAAAAAAATCCCTCACTTGTGCCACAGAAGCTACAAAAGTATTTCAGTATAACCCACCACGCATGTTGCAAGCAATGCAAGCAATGAAATACTCTGTCCAGTATAACTTTATCGTGTTAAATGATCAGGTAACACTCATGCACTTAAATTAAATAGCCCTGTTTATTATAGATTTTGCCACCACTGTCACATAATTTAGTCCAAAGTCTGCTAAAACTTGCATAGGTGTTGTAAGTTCGACAATATTCCCGTAGGAACCAGCCTTAGATTCTGTTGCATGCACCCCTGAATAGAAAGTCCATCTCCATCGCCAAATCACCAACTGTGTCATCCAGTTGACTTTTCATGATTCGCTTTGATAAGCACAAACTACCTTCAGAACGCTTACGCTGAAATACTTTGCTGACATTGTCGAAAGACACCAGATAATAAAAGGCATTAACACCGAGTTCCCAGAGAAGCTTGTGTGATAGATGAAGCCAACATTTATCAAAGAAAATATCTGCTTGTAAAATATATTTTCTACTACATGTTATACACCATTTGAAAGGTCTGATCCTATGGTTTATAAATATGAAAGTTGTGTTTTTCACATTATTTAAAATAATGCATTTACAACTTAATTAAGTTCGTTGTATTAAAATAAAAAATGTAAGCTAACACGTTGTTAACATCCAGATTAAGGACCAAGGAAGCGAAAACATTTAATAAAATCCACTTGCCTATTTCTGTTTTATTTTCATTGTTTACGTAATTGGAAAAACATTTTAAAAATAATTTATAAATAGTTTCTGTCATCACCCATCTCCCGATAACAGCGGCTGTCCGCTCAGTAACATGAAGAAATACCGCCGTTTTCGAGGCTTCGTATGAATAACACATTAGTCGAAGAATGGCATATGACACATCGCTAGAAAGCTTATTCCTTCATCTACACGCTCGTAACATCGTCTGGTTTTTTTCCGTAGTTATAACAAGCGATTTCATTGGATTAAAATTGGTTTCTAATGACGCTTTCTTGTCGAAATCTGCTACAAGTTTCGTGATTGGTCAATTTTGAGCACATGACCTAATGCAGCCAATCAAATTACAGCTGTGGTACCAAGCTCGTGTTTTATACATATTAGAAGTTGGCGAAAGATTTTTGTTAAATCGTGTTATTCTGAACGTTTTAAGCCGGAAATCACGATATATATTAAAAATATAAAACTTCGTGAATGTATCGTGCTAGGTTACGAGCTGTGACAAAGATTTTTCACACATATATTTTTGCATTAAACATCGTGTCTGAGCCGAGAATTCAAGGCGACGAAAGCCGAGATGTCATTCGACATACATTAGCCTACAAGCGATCGCACGAAAAGATGGAAATAATAACTTAGATGTAAGTTTGATTACTTTTAGATATATTTTTGTTGATTTTATTTATTACTTTGTATAATATATTTAAAGATTTGTTTAGAACCTCTTTATTTTGCTCTTTGACATATTCGATGTGGACCCGTTGTCGAAATTTGTGTCCGAGAATTTTATTTCCAATAACACCGCGGGAGATAGTGAATAATTTTTTAATGTATCGATTAAAAATGATAAAGTGAAATGGAATACGTATTTCAGACATTGTGAAATGTTATAAGATTTAATAAATGAATGACATCACAGGTAGGTCCATAAATATATATATTATTTTGACGTGACTACGTCTGGGGACTCGATGCTTCTTGGCCGGATAACCGGCCTACGGTGTTGAAAGAGTTAAAACACCCAAACTGACACCCCATGTCCTACACATGGTCCCGGCATATTCAATACACGCTGTGCGCATTGAGAGTACGCATTCGATTGGCTATGTTCGCGTGGAACGACTAATGGAATTTGCCGACACATTTGCGTAAGGAATTTTAGTTAAAAACTAGAGTTACTTCCCCTTACATGTATTCTCTCACAACAAGGCTTATCGATCGATGTCGGATGTCGGGTAGAATATTTTAAAAAAAAATGATAGAATTTCATTTATTTTTTTTCCGATTTGGCGAAAAATGGTGTCGGCGGATCCGTAATCCTAGCAATTAAATTGGTCTCGCCTTACTATATTGTTTTTAATGCTGTTATAAAGAATCTATCCTATAAGTCCTGACTCAGTGTATGAGTGAGAGTGAGTGAGTGAGTGTGTTTTTACGCCGCTTTTAGCAATATTCCATCAGTATCACGGCGGGGGACACCAGAAATTGGCTTCACACATTGTACCCATGTGGGGAATGGAACCCGGCCCTTCGACGTGACGAGCGAAGGCTGTAACCACAAGACTACCTGACCGCCCCTATGTATGTTAAGTGAGTGAGTATGGTTTTAGGCTGCTGTTAGCAATATTCCGGCGGGGGACACCAGAAATGGGCTTCACACATTGTACCCATGTTGGGAACCGAACCCGGGCCTTCGACGTGATGAGCGAACGCTTTAACCACCAGGCTACCTGACCTCCCCAATGTATGATAAGAAAAGGATACTAACCTTCATCATCACTATCTTCATCAGGTTCCTCCTGTAAACAAAATAATGTCAACCATGTCATGAAACAGGATGAATGTGTTAGGACTAAAACCTAGATAAACACTCTCGGTGTACACAAAAATCACTACACCTTGGTTCAACAATGTTTAAGTTAGTACGAAAAATTTCCAACAATCATCAGGGCCAAAAACAACACAAAAACACTGTTGCAGGATTACCGAATGACCCGTATCTGTAAACCTCATTCTCGGTTTTCTCGCGTTTCACCATCTTGTAAATGTCCATATTTCATGCCTCGCACAGTAATTTGCTGCACATAACTTTAGACAACCCTGTCATCTTTGGCTCTGACATACTGCTAATTACACAAACAAAAACCCACCCCCAATTTTTGGAAAGACTACAACAGGAAACACATACTTTTTTGTGTCATCTAACAAAGCTACACTAAATTGTTTGATAGGCATTACTTAGAAGCTGACGGTCCATGACAGATGAGAAAATAGACACAATTTATGGATGACAACTTCCTTATTTACTTAACGGCGTTGTTTCGGTAGAGATCCTTATACCGTTGTTAAAGAGACAACGGTTAAAGGATCTGTACTGAAACGTCGCTTTTACAGTAAATAAAGAAGTTGTTATCCATAAATTGTATCTACTTTGAAAGCGACACTAGGGTTTTGTCAAAATCAGTGACAGGTGTGACATGCACAGTGACTGTATCGACACCAGGAGGAGTGTTCACAAAGGAAATACTCCGGCTACTGACCTCTTGCTCCAAGCCACCAGCTCCTCCTCCTCCTAGTCCACCCATGGAATTCATCATCTGTAAACATCAAATCAGCATGTACAGATATACATATCTATCACTTCATAGAGAAGAATGATGAGTGCTCATTATCAGTGAGTGAGTTGGGTTTTAACACCTCTTTAACATAATTCCTGTTTCATCATGGAGGAAAAGTGGGAGGAAAGCCCCAAGTGATGCGGTTCTCAGACGTTTACCACTTTGGTAAAACCCACAAGTATGGGTGTGGTGCTGCCAAACAGAGCTACAGATAAGCTGCATATTTGCGCCAAATACCCCTCCCCACAAAATATAATATTCAAAACCCAATTACTTTCAATTAACTTGCGTACAGAAACGCATGCATTAAATGAAAAACTCAAATGTATAAGAACAGCACACGTTAACACCCAATGAAGCTTTTCCAGCATGCGTACAAGGGAGCTAATTTCCGAAACACAATTACAAGCTAATTTACTTTCCGAGTCAAGCCTATATATTTAGAACAGTTATATACATCTAAAACATTATTTCAGTTTTTTAAATCTTAAGATGTTCACAATTTTGGGAAAAGCCCAATAGAGTGATGAATAGATGAGTGAAAAAATATTGGTTACCCAATGAAAAATGTAATAACCCAATTAAATAGAAACCCTGAAGTAAAAACTCAATTGCTCAAAAAGTTATCTGGAGCTCGGTGCCAAACCTAGAAACATAATCGGGGCTTATTATTAAATATTCTACCACTGACAAAATGGATCTTCAAGATGGTTACCTCACTACGAACATGAGAAATTTCAACAATACCAACATCCAGTGTATTATATCTCCATTCTATAATTTGCCAGCATAAGATTCTGTTTCATGTGACATGACCATCTCCATCTCTCCTAATACTTAGCATAGAATTTCTCTCATTTTGAAAGCATGTTTGAATTTGAAACCAAACAACCAATGAAATGCTTCTTCAAGTTCCGCATAGATCTTAACTCAAAATCATGGCCCAATCCGAGCCAACCTTTGACATATTTAATTGAATCTGGACAATTTACAAAATATTTTCCAAGCTGGGAAGTTTCCTAAGTACTTAGTTTGCGGGAGGTAATACAAGACATTCCGACTGTTAAGAGATGTCATGTAAATGTAGAATCGAGTACAGGTGACATTGCGCTTGTTACTTGAAACAACAGAGTAACTTGATTGGATGTCTATTTGTCATGTCTCATTGAAAGTGGACTAAGCTATGATGGCGAATGGGTCCAGCTTATTAATCATAGTGAGTGAGTATGGTATTACGCCGCTTTTAGCAATATTCCAGCAATATCACGGCGGGGGTCACCAGAAATGGGCTTCACACATTGTACCCATGTCAGGAATCGAACCCAGGTCTTCGGCGTGACGAGCTAACGCTTTAACAACTAGGCTACCCGACTGCCCCTCTTATTAATCATAACAGAATGGAGATTTAATACACTGGATGCAGTACAAAAAATATATGAAGCTTTAATTGTCAAAAATATGAACTGTACCAGAACCCAAATCACCTCATCACAAAGCATGTAGAGTATCACACTATTTTCATTACATTGAAGAAAATACAATCCTTGTACTGCAAATTTAACATTTCATTTTAGAGTTGAAAAACATACCACAAAAAGTCAATGCATCTACTCCCTTACTCACATGAAGATACTTCACAACTGACAAAACATTCATAACTGACAATTTATTCACTTCTAACCAATAATTCATTACAAACTTATTATTGACAAACTCCTCATTTCTGATATATCATTCATACATTCACTACAGTTCAGAAAATGACCAGTTACACATTGGTACAAGCCTTGAGTCCTAGCTAGCAGCAGCATCTGAACATATTCTGCAAGTTTATACCTGTTCTAAGTTCATATCCTCGTTGTCATCAGCATCCGAATCATCCTCGTCCCGCCATTTGTCAAAATCTGTCTTCAAGAAATGAACCTGAAACATAAGTAGTTTCAGTTTCAGTTTAACAATGATAACATATATAAATTTATATAGCTCCAAATTTCAGATTGGATCTGCTTAAAGGCGCTTTTGCATCAGTCTGGTGGTCAAAGAGAGACTTCAGTGAGGGTTGTAGGCGGATGGAACAAATAGGTTTTTAACAGTCCCTTAAATTGGTTCATATATTTGGCACTTTGGATGTTGACGGGAATGTTGTGCCTGAGAGTTGGACTGGCCTTTGCAAAGCATCGGCCACCAAGTGACATAGTTAAAAGCTTACAGTAATGGGAAATAGCTAAAATGGATAGAATTATCATTAAACCGCCCAAATGTTATCAGAAATGAGCGGGCCACTGTAACTTGATAATGCCCTCATACTGCTTGATGACGGGTCAATATCACGCCCGTTGTTAGGTGACGTCATAGGATAGGGATAGGTGACGTCACCTAGTTTGTTCTATGACGTTCCATATTTGTAAAAGTGGGTCGGAGACATTCGTGTTGATTGCAGTTAATGATTCAAAACCGATATTGTTGTTTCTTTTTATTTGATAACAAATTCCATCCATTTCAGCTATAATAATGGTAACGCTATTTTTCAGGGCATTATCATTTGCAGAAGCACTCGGTCTTTTTAACTGTCCTCCTTCGTCGGGCAGTTTGGAAGACCTTTGGCTTCTGCAAATGATAATGCCCTGAAAAATAGTGTTACCATTATACTTTCCACATGATCACTTAAAGTTAAACATCCATGCCTCATCAGTGCCTGCACTGGCAGCCAAATATCTCACCTTTTTGTTATCTTTGAGTAACCTTGGCCAAAATCCTTTTTCCAGTTCCTTCTTCCTCAACATAAAGATGATTTCCCTGCCTCCTATTGTGTACTTTGATTCCTGAGGAACAGCAGGGAACACAACATCAGTGATAGAACACAAAATGATCAATCCATACCAAACAAACAATAGTCATGATTTTGTTTGTACTCACAGCCATGTCACCATGGTCATTGCACAGGGTTGGTTGGTGATGGTTTGTTGTTTTACGCCGCACTCAGCAATATTCCAGCTATATGACGGTGGTCTGTAAATAAACGAGTCTGGACCAGACAATCCAGTGATTAATATCATGAGCATCAATCCACGCATTTAGGACCGTTTGTCGCCTTTTACGACAAGCATAGTCGCCTTTTACGGCAAGCATGGGTTGCTGAAGACCTATTCTACCCCGGATCTTCACGGGTCCATTGCACAGGGACTTAGCTAGGATTCTCAACTATTGAAGTGTGTGTTTGTTTGTTGCTTACAATGCACTCAGCAATATTTCAGCTATCCAGCTGTCGGTAAATAATAGACCAGACAATCCAGTGATTGACACTATGAGCATCGACCTACACAACTGGGATACGATGACATGCATCAACCAAGTCAGTCCTGACCATAGTTTGGTGTGGACTTATTCAGTACCCCAAGGGGTTCCAGATCACTGATATGAATGGGGCTGAAAATCGAGAATCCTAGTCAGGACAAATCTTGGATCACAATTTTCTGACTAAGGGAAGCAACTCTCAACAAGGAATTGCTGCACATTGAGTCAACTGAGCCAGCGATGCTTCCGATGACAACAATGATTACCCTCATACTACAATATTTCATGGTGAATCGTGTATAGTATGTTATCTTTTAAGTTAAAAAGCCTACAGTATACAGAGCAGTGTGAAACCATGGTTACAAGACATGCTTACCTCTGGAATGATATCATGATAAAACTCCAGTGTGGCTTCATGCATAACCTTTTCAGGCCCACCAGCACCCCTGAAAACAAATTAAATAGTAACAATCTTGTTGGCTTGTCACACTTAGTGAAGGGAAAATTTCTGGCAAATGATAGTTATAATTAGTACTTCATGCATTAATCATGATCATATGTGTATGAACATAATGAAATAAGTGAGGTGAGGCAAAATGGGGTTTAAACATGATTGCACTTATATAGCAAAATGCAGGCATGTGTGCGTGTGTGGCTGCTTGTACTAGGCCAGACTAATGCCAATTTTATAGTGCTAGCCCACTGAGATACCATGCCACAGTTTGAACATTGATACCCCACTCAGACACAATATACTGACTCCGAGCGACCAGTTCTTGTTTTAGCCCCTTAATGCCAAGCGTAAAGTAAGGTGACAACAAGAACCATTTTCTGACGTCCTTTGGTATGACGCGACTGGGGATTGAACCCTGGGCCTTCCGCTCAAGATTATGTTGGTCCATAGAACCAGTTAAACTTGTGAAAAGGGTACAGCAGTTATACATAAAAACAGAAATAGTCGCCAACAAAAACTGATGAAATTGCTATTTGGGGAATCATGCATTATCCAGGGTAAACAACTATATTGTACAGCTTCAGGTGCACAAAATGCTGAACGAACACCGGTCTACTGGTGATCCAGTCAAAAATTACCTAATATATATAATGTAACTTAAAGAATTATGATGCAATGACTAGTTCAGAATAAATTGTATCTGAAACTATACTTTCACCTGCAATAAAATATTGTAATATTATAATATCTTATTTATTTACAGCTATTAGTATTACTACATACAGAGCTCCACATAAGCTTTTGGTGTTGTGGGTATTTTACCCATGCATTTTAAAATCATTGGGTATCAGTAATTCTATCTGGGTATTCAAATTTCTGTTACCCACTAGTGTTTACACATGTGGGTATTTAAGTTAAATATTTAAAAACACTATTCATCTAGTCCCTGCAAACTGGTGTCGTGTGGGTTCAAGAGCTTTATAGGACTCAAAAATACCACGATACTTCCACAAGAAAGTGTGATGGCAAATGATCATGATGTAACTGTCATCGTGGAGTTTGGCAAGGTTGACGGAATGCCCGTTTATAATTTCAAAATAAGTTGCTGATTTGCTAATCGAATACGCAGGGTTACTTCACAATATTTTGATGATACGCACAAGTTTTATTTTTGTAGCGTATCTGTAATGTTCGTTGCGTATTTGATACGCTTGGATTATATTTTACTGTGTATTTCTGCATTTCTGATGCGTATTTCACGCAGATACGCAGCTTATCTGGAGCTCTGTACATATTTTTAAAATAAAAATAACATAAACGTAGTACTCTGTGTCCGGGTACATTTCCGGAACATGTATGTAACAGTTTGATGTGTGATTGACACTACCTTCGGTCTTGCTGTTTTGATTGCAAAAACAACATGTTGATATATACTAGTCAAACTACAACAAATATGACGTTTAACAAGTCAAGGTACAGCATTTATGACATGCATCCCTTGTCTGCCAACTAAGGTTTGTTTCAAGGCATCATTATCAGTAATCTGATCGTGGTTGCTGCAAATAACGCTGAGTTGGTGCGATCTGCCAATTAGCTCACACTCGATTTTGCTGAAATAAATGTAACCAATATTGAATGTAAATAATGGCTACGTGACCTTGTTGTTATCCAGGTAGACTAAACATGCTAAAAGGCGAAAGCTCTAATAAGTACATTCAATGGTGTTTACCATTAGGGTTTTTAATCTTATTGAATACATTTATTATCATGATTATGCGACCAGTAAAAAATAGTCAGGACCTGTATTTTAAATAACTGACAGTCTGTTGGACAGGTAATATAAAAAATGAAAAGAAACACTGAACATTGTCATTCAAGGTAACATTTCAAAGCAAACAATGGTGACGTAACACTACATTGTACAGGGAAGTGCAGTTTCAAACTTACTTGAAGTACAAACTATTTTCTTTTAGCTGGATGTCTGGTTTTCCACAATTATCTAGTCTCACTGTAACCCATAACTTGTCCTTCCTTTGGGCCCATACCACAGCAGGATGGGGTAAGATGCTGAAACAAATGACAACAATAGTTATGAGTGAGTGAGTGAGTTGGGTTTAACGCCGCTTTTAACTGTATTCCAGTTATATCACGGCGTGTCAGCTTAATGTGGGAGGAAAGCCCGAAGTGATGCAGGTCTCAGACATTTACCACTTCGGTTTAACCCTCGAGCACAGGTATGGTGCTGACAAACCTAGAAACATAATCGAGGTGAACCGGGATTCGAACCCACAATCATAAGTTTCTGGCGTGCCCAAGGGACGCAACTCTGCACAGCGAATCGTGGTGCCTTAGATGACTGGGCCACCCGTGCCCCCAAAAATAGTAATAATAATAATAATGATTCATAACCAATGATATATTTAATAGCATGCATCTCTAGCATAAAATGAAAGTCAAGGAACAGGTCGGACTAGTAGACATCAAAGGTTCTGGCACAGACTGGGTACATGAGGGTTTTATTTCCATGTTTTACGTCATGAGTAGGTTACTAATCTTTCAAACTAAATTGATTCTAATGACGTATGTACACCTCTTTTCGACCTCTAATTGCCCGGGACGTGATAAGTAAGTAACACTTTTGTTAGAAATTAAGGTGGTCCTTGGGGCATGCTGCTATATTATCTAATTCTAGCATGTCGATACATTCCTAATTATTAAATTTTTAATATTATGGTTACCATGGTTACAGCAATGACCCCTCGAGGTCCATGCTATCTTAACAAGTGCATTCAAAATGAATCATTTCTGAACACTGGTCTGTCTGTCTGGGTTCCAATAATTACAGGTTGACATGATATAGCCAGGATTATGCTGACTTTCAACAACAAACAAAACAATCCCCATTAGGAACCTTATAGGCCAAGCATGAGATAATGAGGTACTACAGTGGAGTCATAGTGTTAACCCAGGGATAGAAATTGGAACATGCCCACAAAACAGCAAGTTTGTCTTTGGAGTTGATAGAATTTTAAGGCTGTTAGGTAGTGGCTTATATTTTATCAGTAATATCACAATTTGGGCCAGTGAATGTTCTTGGGCATTTCAGGCATTAATAACAACATATAATTCGCACCTTTTCTTTTCATTTAGCATAAAACCCTTCCAAAATCTGAATCTCCATGCTTATTTTATGAATCATACTGTGAAATATGTGTTCATATGGTCCCCATGTTCCATATTTTCATCCAGTTTTCTTGTCAGAAAGTACATTTACCACTTGCTTTATCATGTTCATCAATCATATATACTGTATTTGCCATATTAAGTAACACCCTGCTCCAATACCCACGTCCCAACCAACTTCTACACTAATCTGTATGATCTTTCTATCGTCCCCTTACTAAGACTACACAGAAGGTGTATAATCAAAAACATTTTAGTTTCATCCACGTTTGACTTAAGTTTGTTCACTGCCGCTCAATCTCCGATTCAAAAGTTGTGTATGGTTCTAACCATCTTCCTGAGGCAAGAGAGTTAACTGACTTTAAATGTAGTTTCCACCCATGCCAAACTAAGCTGGAATTCCTGGGCTTGATCGTAGCACCACCAGTGGCTATTATGAGTTATGTCCCTTCTATGCCTCTCCTATGGATTAATCAGATTCCACCCCTCATATCACTCGCATTTGCTTCAAACAAAATGACAGTGCCCAGACAAGACGATCTGATCGATTATCAAGATCTCTATTGTGATAAAAATGGTTCTTACATTGCGTAGTGCATTAAATCGCGTGAGCACCTTGATTAAAAACATGAAAAGATTTGAAAAATATCTGTTGATACTGAGTTGGTGGTGCATATGCTTGGCAAATCCTGCAATCGACCGAAATCTGCATGACAGTTTAAGAAACTGATTTCGATTTCATTTCGCGATTTTGATTGGACTATGCAGACTCGTTAGTCCAGTCAAAATCTGACTCTATAATACCAGCCCAGTTCGGCAAGGGTGGAAACTGGACTTTTATCAATAGTTTGTTAATTCTCTTGTTTCGGTAAGATGGGTTTTAACAGGCGCTGCATCTGTCAATTTTCTAACTGTCCGTACACGTATATATATTATATATATGTATGTATAATAAAGATAATCAAAAGGTATTTTTGTTTAAAAGCAGAAGCTAGAACTAAGATCTGATTTTAATTTGATTGGAGATATCTTATTAATGTTAAAACCAATGAATATGATTAACTATGGCAAAATACATATGACCAAGAATATGAATTGCATTTTGAAGTGATACAGGTAAGCGAGAGAATGATTATGACCAGTTTTTAAGATATATATCTGAATTGATAGTTTCCTTATTTATCCTATATCTTGTAAAGAGCTGGAGATAACTTTTGTATTTGCATAAAATATGCAAACTAAATCACTATAACCATGATAACCACAATTAATTGATGAGTGGCTTGCATCCAAATACGTACGAAATAATTTGATAACCAAATTAGTGTAACAACATTGTGTGTAATTACCCAAGAAAACTGTTTCAGCTTGCGCACTTGTATATACGTCTTTACTGATCTTTTCTTCCTGACTGAACATTTGCTGAACGGGCAAGGATCACATATTCATGAACTATACAGAAGTGAATACTGCACATATGTGCAACATCTTGCTTACTGTACATGCTGTAACTTAGACATGTATTACTGTTATGAGGTCATGTGACATGATACTCACAAGCTGAGTTACCTGACCAGAGTAAAAATAAACTGAACAGTAATCAATAGCAAAATAAAACTATCAATACCCAATATTTGGGTGAGTGCGAAAAGAAAAACAGTCTCTAAAAAATGAAGACAATGCCATTTCAAAGTTCAACATTATGACCATATTCATACAAGTTTTGACATGTATCACACATGATACACTTCCCTGACGAATGTTTCTATGTACATTAATTTTATTCACCGAAATAATCAATGTAACACTGTTATCGTTAGTTTTAGTTCTCAGTGCATTGTTTCGGATATCAAAATGCTAACACACTGAAAATCAAGGGGAGATAATCTTGAGACAGTAACAATGCTCGGTTAATAATCACGCAGTCAAATAACTTCGGCCTAACTTCATTTGAATATACATGTGAACTGGATAACAAGTTGAAATCAATTCGTTGAAGCCAACTGTCTACTACATGATAGATAAGGAAGAAAATCCGTAGTCTAAATTTCGAAGCGTTGAAAGGGGACATCGTAATGTCTGCCCTACATATATTTAACAATTCACTGAGTGGTTTGACAGATTTGTGATAGAAGATTACACAAGATGAACTTTAAACGTGAGCATACGAGTAAGCAAAGCTTGCCAGTAACTATATTACTGTACCAAACACAAGTAATTTTGAATGCGTGAATTTTCGGTTCGAGAAAATTCTAGGAGGATCGTGTTATGCTTTTATGTATGAGTCGCATTTAAAAGGATCGTGTGAAAGTCAATAATGTATATCATCATCAGTGCAAACAGAACTCAAACAAATACTACAAACATGCAACAATTCAAATATAGGCGAGCGTTTTTATATTCCATACCTGCCGGCTTTTTCGCCTGTTGTCTGTGACGCCATTTTGTGTTCAAGCATGCTCCTCGATCACATGGCACGGCGGAAGATCATTAATTTGGAAATGTTTTCACACAACTAACGCAGAGACCAATACATGTAACAATTACAAATATCCAATAATGTATGATATTAATTATAATATACCGTTTTCGTCGACACCATTGTGACGGGAAAATGCGATGATACACGGACAGTGACGAAGCTGTTTACGACCGCTTGTTTCAATGACGAAAAATCTCCACGACCTCCAGGATTTTACACACGCAGCTATCAACTCTGAGGTGTAACTTAGCACATTTTTTGCGATTACGCTTTCATTTTAAATTGAGGACAGATCCAGGTTACAATATATTTATTGAACGATATTTCAATCGTATCAATGTTTGTCAGCTTGACATATACATGGACGAATATAAAACTCCAATCATACGTATAACTTATACAGAGATCTTGTGTAAATATATAGAGAAAACAGTAATCCGATAAATACATCTGTCTTAATGATGTATATGTTAGGCACAAGAGAAGAAAATAGTACTTGTCCTTCAATATTATTTAGGCTGCAAATTTATGTATACTGTATAGTATATGATTAAAACCGAAATTGTCATTAAAACTATTTTTTTAACTTTCTTTATGTTCCTTCAAATGAATTATTGAAAATCACAATTTTTTCAAAACATACATTAATATTGACACACCTCAATACGGCTTTCCTCGATCACTAAATGCGTAAGTAACGAGCACATTCCACATTGACAGTTTCATGTGGTAATATGATCGGGTGAAATATGACCAATTATCGGCTAATATTGGGTAACGACCAATAATTAAGCTAACCGTATCCGAAATGTGTGTTAACGCTTTGCAAGCATGGAGGAAGTCGTTACGAATCACCGGTGAATTCGCCAGAGGTTAAATGACTTGGGGCACCTGCAGAATTAATAGCTCCCCCCACTCCCCGTCAAATGTGGATATAACCCGAGTCGGACCAGTGTCCAGTCACAATCACTTGGTCAGCCAGTCCAGAATAACCATGGTCCATCAACTCGTCGTCGCTGTGTGTGTGGTGTTAGGGCTCGCCTCTCACCAGGTGTGTGCTCAGTGGTCGGGTATGGGCCAAGGTCAAGGACAAGGTCAGTTAGGAGGATGGAACAGCGGTGCGTGGAACATGGGCCAGGGTCAAGGTCAAGGATTTGGTCAAGGTCTTGGTCAAGGCCAAAGTCAGTTTGGAGGATGGGGCGGTGCTTTGGGCATGGGACAAGGAGGAGGATGGGGACAAGCGTCACCAGCTGGTTTAGGAATGGGAGGCATGTTCCAACAGGAACCTAACCAGTATCAGACCTGCATCGCCAAGAACTCAAATGGGGACGAGATGAGAGTCACCTTCAGCAGCAGCAACAACAACCCTATGTTTGGAAACCGATTTGGCAACGCCTTGCGTCTCACTGCTCGCATCTCCTCCAACCAAGCTGCAACTCTCCAAGGTCAATTCCAGTTGGTCGTCACTGAATTCTCCCGCACCGAGGAGGTGTGTTCCAGCCGTGCTCTCGGCGACATCCTGACCGACCGTACCTGGTGGAGCCAGTCCCGTACACCCCGCGGCATCGTGGGCACCCCCGTCACCATCAACCAGGGACAGACCGCCACCTCCTCTGAGACCGTGGAGAACCTGGCCTTCGAGGAGCTGACCGGCCGTGGACTGGCTCTGTGTCCCTCTCACCAGATCTCTGGCTCCACCTGCATGGACGTCATCCCTCTGTGCTGCAAGATCGGCTTCGACAGTCAGCCTGCCACCACACCATTCACCGCCCAGAACCAGCTCTTCGGCCAGGGACTTCTCGGCATGCAGAACCCAGGTAGCAACAACGGTTTGGGAGGCGGTTTCGGCCAGAGGATGCCCGGCGGGATGGGAGGTGGTTTCAATGGAGGACTCGGTGGTGGGATGAACCTTGGAATGGGTGGTGGTCTTAATGGCGGCGGCTTGGCCGGACCTCAAGGTAGAAACCAGGGATTTCCGGCTGGCGGCCAGGGCATGGGACAGGGCAACGCCGGACCTCAAGGTCTGAACAACGGTCTCAACAACGCAGGTACCGGGAACATGGGCGGTCTCACCTTCCAGAGCGTGTAGGAACTCCACACTGCTCATGTGGATGGCTGTGGTTCCGTGCTGAGATCACTATACCCCACAACAACCAGTAGTAGCATAACAGTGTGCAGAGCTACATCGGTGTGTTCTTTACCACTTGTTTGATGTTATGATGAATATGTTTATCCTACATTTGCTTTCAATAGCTTTACCTTATTCAAATCATTGTCACTGCTAACATGTTTAACCAAAATGACGTCTTGTCATAGAACCTGACCAAGTTTACTATATGTACATCATTCGGATACGAAAACGAATTTGAATAAAATATATTTATTTTAAAATGTATATGTTTGTTTCATGTTACATTAACTGATAATTGGGGGATGGGGGTGTTGGGCCCTTAGGTTTGCCAGAAACTTATGACAGCCGTACGGGATTTATGTATACTTGATATTAGTCAGCACATTTTCGAGAGCATTCGAGACACTTTGGACGATAATATCAGCAACAACAACAATATTTATTTCGCTTCAAGGACATATCAAGGACATAGCGAGCGAGAACATTTAAAATTGGGCGTGGTGGCACACGAAGCACTAGATATTTTACAATAATTCAAACCTTGACGGCTATTCGTGTTGATAAAGCTTTTTACATTTCTTTATCAAACTGTGTCGGTCTTCTAAATTCTGACAGATTAGCAGTATTTAACAATAATTGATCAACTTCGATTACATTCGACCTTGTAAAGTTTATGTGGAGGATACATTTTGTAAAGAAGAGTATAAAAATGGACATATATGATAAACAATCGTATTGTCTGCGAAGTCATTCTTATTACAATGGTTACAAATTATGTCACGCGCTATATTTGCTCATGGTCCCTTATGTATTAATGAGTGTGTGAGTATGGTTTTTCGCCACTTTTAGCAATATTCCAGCAATATCACGGCGGGGGTCACCAGAAATGGGCTTCACATATTGTACCCATGTCGGGAATCGAACCCAGGTCTTCGGCGTGACGAGCGAACGCTTTAACCACTAGGCTACCCGACCGCCCCTATGTATTAGTAATCTGTGGTTAGTGGAAGATTTGTGGGAAGCGATAAGAAATAACTTTCTAATTTTATTTCATGTTTAAATATTCTATTAAATATTGCCTTACGATAATTTTCTTATAAACTTGTCCATGTCTGATATTGGCAATGTGCTTGTCTCGAATATACGGAGTATTCACGGGCCGAGAAGCAGTATTGTTATAATGGTTAAAAGCGGGAACAAAATATACTCTTCAGGGGATACTCGGAAATATCCTAAAATTGCCAAAATTGCAAGAGTTTTTAGTTTCAAGTAATAGTTTCATATGATTATAAAGATCACAGGAGTCCGTATCTAAAAATAGACGCCCTCATGCATATTCATGACCATCTCCACACGAAGGGCTCGCGTGTGGAGATGGTCATGAATATGCATGAGGGCGTCTATTTTTAGATACGGACTCCTGTGTAAAGATCGAACTGGGAACACGTCACAACCGGTAGTGAAGTATGATAGTAGATGTTATGACCGCAGTTCCACACAAAGTGCTACAGTAGACACAAAGTTCCACAATAGACACATAGTTCTACAGTAGACACAAAGTTACCATACTTTAGTACATTTTTCAAGTTGAAAAGCCACAAAATTGAACTTATTTCACCGAGTGGTATACTGTTATGTTCATCGACTTCAGGAAGAAATTCATAACACTATACATCCCCATTGTTACAAGGTGTTATGACATGGCTGAATTACTACAACCCAGCTACTTTTCAGCAAAAATCAAGATGTTATGATCTTAAAGAACGATAGGGGTATGTCCGGTAATTAAAGGTTTATTTTTCATGAAGGTTCAACAAAATTGACGGAAAAGGTTTTTTAATGCATTTCACTGCCTTGATAGGTCTACTTTAAGAAAAAAAATAGTTTACCAAATTTGACTTGGGGAAACACCCAAAATAGGTCAAATCCAAGATGGCCGCCATCAATACAAACGAAAATCGAAAAAGTAAAAAAAAAAGAATCAATCAAAATATAAACATGGATGAGGACTCTATTTATAATCAACTTCATAGGATCAAGACAGGGGAATATATATTTAACAATTTTGAAGTGAAATCTTACACAGAAATAAATTACAGCTGCCCGAAAAGTGAAAAACTGCAATTGTTCCATATCGGACTACAAAATACTTAACACAGGCTTATAAAGAGGGAATAACCCTGCAATACTACAGTTTACAAGTCAAACTTACTATCAATTTAAATGTCTAAAGTTCAAGACAGTCTTTATATCCACACTCATATACTGGACATGAAGAGACGATTAGTCAGTAATGTCAGAAAAGTGATGACTTGGTCCATTTGAACATGTCATCCCTTTGCATTGTCCACATGCTGAGGTACACTGTAGACATTTTTTTCTGCATGAGCATGTGTTTTCATCCACACTTTCCAATGCAATTGTATCTGATTATTTTCAACAGAAATTTAGGAGTGACAGCTTGGTGCCTTGTGATTGGTTTCAATATAGTGCCCTTGTTGCTCTTTCGAAGCGTCCAGCCCCATTCTGTCGCATCCATATTGTTACCTAGCCAGGTCTGCACTTGGAGTCAGACTCGTTGGCTGGGCAATCTGGCAGCATCTGATGTCGGTGGAAGGTGTCGAAGGGGTAGGTAATTTGAGCTTGATACATACCTTCTCAGTGAATTTCGTCACAGTGTCACACGTTCAAAATTCAAATCCAAGCCAGGTAAAGGATTGCAAGTGCCTGATTACCAGCCTGCTCGATTTCTGCATGGTTTCCACCTGTCACCATGAAAACCTTTGAATATTCCTGAGACCATCCCTATGCCATATGGCCTCGATGTTGTGTCACTCCCTGACAATGCATGTACAAAGAGCAAAGAATGGCTGAGATCCAGATCAAGGATCATCTGTAGGATGAAGATGTCAATGATCTCTGTACTTGTCTAAAGATAGATGGCCTCATGGTATCGGGTCTGATAGTGTGATACTTTATCAAACTTGTCGAGGAGGCAGAAATGATGGGGATATGACGAATGCATTATTGCCTGACCCAATGACGCAGTATGGAGTTTACTGTTTCAGCTGTTGATGATAGCTTGAAGGAGGATGCGTAATGCATGTGGGAGGTAATCAATGCCGAGATACACATCAACATGTTTCGACATGCTCTCTAACCTGCGTATGAATGTAATCTCCCCAAACTTTTATCAAACTGTCCATGTCGTATTTGTCCACCTTTGCAACATTTTCATATGCCGTAAGAGATGCAATGTTAGGTTGTTGCCTGATTGTAGTTATGAATACCTTGTTCCCATAGTGATTCATGAATTCCCTTTTCAGCTGAGATGTAGTGTGTAGTTGATCATCACTCAGTGCACTTATTGACTTCACAATGTGATGCAAATTGTCCAAAGGAATCGTTTCATCATCATTCTCTTCCAAGTAATCAATGGCAATCTCAAATGCTGTCATCTAGGACATACACTTCAGTCGACCAAGTCTCCGATTCTTTGGTGGAGCCTCCTCATGTTCAATATAAGCTGCAGGTATACCTGTCCCTCTCCGAAAATTCTTATCACAAGCATGGTGATGGATAGCTTCTTCAGCTGGTAGATCGTATATGGGCACGATACTTGACTGTACCATCTTGGCCCAATCATCTTGCCTGTTGACACAGTATGTTGCAGACATATGTTGAGTAACTTCCTGGAACTCAAGAGCCATCGCACGGCTGAAGTACACTTCTATATGGATGTTTGTATGCAACATCTTGGTCAATACAAGTACCACATAGAAAACAGTGAGTTTTAAAATTTAAGGCTTAAACATATGATCGAAGAGTTTTCAGCTACTTTGATTCTCTTTGGATTTACATGCATACTTCGACACTGTCTGTGTACCAACAGGCTACAGTTGTATATGATGTCAGGTGCATCTAATTCGTGCAGTCTGTTTGCGTTATTAATGCTACATCAGCATTTTGCAGTCAACTTCACATAATCCTGGGGTTTGTCCAGGTTAACTGGTTCCATACATAGCAACCAAGTCGCCATCTGTGATCTACACAGGACACCTTCAGTTGAGAATAGTCACCTGCGAATATAACAGTTGATAGAAATATGGTTGACATGTGTACAGATACAAATGTTGCTTTTCCGATTATAGCAAATGCTTTTTGTGCTAAATGACTTGATTATATCTTCAGAATTAACTTTTAATCAAAGTTTCTGAGAAGCTAATACCATTTGAGAAAAATAACTGCTTCCCGGAGTTGGGATTATCTCCCTTGATTTTCCTTGAAACAAATGTTGATGTTAATGGCTCTGTTTCAAATTTTTTATTTATATTTGTTCATATTTTCATCAGTTATTCCCCTCTAGAGCCAATATCAACTATATATTATACAAGTTTTCATTTTAGCTATAAAAGAAAAATAGCTTATACATACCTTTATGTTCTTGAGGTCTATCTTTAAAACATTGTTTGCTCGGCCACCATTTTGAAGAAGGGGATACTTTGTTTTTTTTCAATTATATTTGTTTCTAACTTGATTATTTATGTGAAGACAATAAACTGTATAATTTTATATGTAAAAAGTCAACATTATAATAAATCGGTTCATGTTGATAGTTCTGTTCTGAAAGAATTACTCATATTAACAAATTTATGTACGTTTTCGTCATTTTAAAGCATTATTTTAAATTTCCATGTGAATTTTCCTTTCAAAATTGTTAAATATACATTCCTTTGCATTTATCCTGGCAAGCTAATATAGATAGACTCACCATAAATGTTTTTATTGTTATTGGTTCCACGTTTATGACTATTATTACTTTTGTTGGCGTCCATCTTGGATTTGACCTTTTTTCGGATGGTTCCCCATGTCCGATTTTGGTAAACTATGTTTTATTTAAATGCATATGTGTCAAGGCACCAAAATCCAGCAATAAACCTTTTCCGTCAATTTTGTTGAACCTGGACCTTTTAAATACTGGACTAGGGAAATTTCTTAGTTGACGTTGTTAGATCAGTAGCCCGCAATACCGGCACGATTTGGCATACATTCATTCACTCGATGATGCATAGGGCGTTTCGCTCGTTCACACACAAACAATGAATGGAATCAAATAAATCAATATAAGGCCTTATAACTATGGTGTACATATAGCATTTGATCCTTGCATGAGATCTTTGTAGTATTAAATGTACACACAGTTCGGCCCCTTCTTTGATTTTAGAACTACATTAATCCTAATTATTTGCATACTCATCCTATTTCCCTGCGAAGGTATATTATTTTTGACCAAAATATGTTTTATTCATTGCAATAATACTTCATGGTTTTTTTTATGGCAATGTGTGTATTTTTGCTGTCTCTTTTATCTGTAACTTATTTTTTATATTTTTTTCATTTTCTAAATGAGAAACTTGCCATATATTTTGTGCAACATGTGCTATTTACATGATTTGATTCTTAAACAACTTCAAATAATGACGGGTGCCGTGGGGTAGCCTTGTGGTTAAAGCGTTCGCTCGCAACGCAGAAGGCCCGGGTTCGATTCCCCACATACAATGTGTGAAGCCCATTTCTGGGGTCCCCCGGCGTAAGACAATGCTCCCTCACTCAAATATTGAAAGAAGTGTTAAACAACACATTTATCTACCAGCATATTCCTCAACAAGATATGGTTTAGCTTTTTTTATGGTTTAGTTAATTAAACTCAATGATTCAGCTGTACAACATGTATATGGTCTGAGTGTTGAGTTGAGTGAGTATGGTTTTACGCCGCTTTTAGCAATATTCCACCAATATCACGGCGGGGGACACCAGAAATGGGCTTCACACATTGTACCCATGTCGGGAATCGAACCCGGGTCTTCGGCGTGACGAGCGAACGCTGTAACCACAAGACTACCTGACTGACCCTATATGGTCTGAGGCAGCCATCTTGTATATTTTGTATATGTCTGAGGTTCACATCGTCCTATATATGGCACGACGTATCTATGGAATCCTGGAAGGGACATTGTCGCGTTGTCGCATTGTTTGTTTGTTGTTTAACGCCGTACTCAGCAATATTACAGCTATATGACGGCGGTCTGTAAATAATCGAGTCTGGACCAGGCTATCCAGTGATTAACATCACGAGCATCGATCCACAAAATTGGGATACGATGACATGCATCAACCACGTCAGCAAGCCTGACCACCCGATCCCGTTAGTAGCCTCTTGCACAGAAGCATAGTTGCCTTTTACGGCAAGGTTGGGTTGCTGCATGCAGACCTATTCTACCCCGGATCTTCACCGGTACGTTGTCGCGCTTTGCATGTATTTTTGTCAGAGCTAAATGCGACAACGTTACGATGTCCGTTTTAGGATTCCATACGTATCGGACAAACAATGATAGCAGAAATTAGCAATTAATTCCAGAGCCGGTATTCTAAGGTCCTCTACAAAACAACAAGAGCATGCATTGGCACAATTTGTTATTTTAGTGTTAACTTTTGAAGATATATGGATTGTAGATTATAATAATAATTGTGATTTTCCGAATAATTAACAACGCTCAACATTGCTATCCACTCGACTATTTCTTTTTAACTGTAGATCGTTCCACGCCCACTGAACAGCTAATAGTTGGAGGCGCTATATAAATATATAGACCCGGGTACGAGTCCCCACAAGGGTATACGTGGGAAAACCATTGTTCGTGTCCCCGCCGTTATGTTGCAAGATTATTGCTAAAGCGACGCAAAACCATCACTTGCCCGCACGCTTTATTTAACACACAATAAATACAATCTTGGGGTGCACGAGATGACATACTAATTTCTATATTTGTATTGATAAGGGGACATTTTGTTTGCAATATGTATTTCCTATTCATAAGAAAATACACACATAATTATTTAGCCAGACAAACATTGCTTATAATACAGATTTGTCAAATGAATCCATCGATCTTACTTTTATCAAATAATGGTATCATGGATGAAAGGCATGTCGTAAAAATGACAGATTTAGTTACACATAATTAATTGAAATTAATTACTTTGATTTGGCCAGAGGGACATTTGAGGAGTGTTGCTAGACACACATAAAATGATTACTTGGCGGAGACGACCCGACACCATTAGATTAAAGGGAGTCTCCCACTATCGCCTTAAGCCATGGCCTGTAGATAAAGCGAGGTAAGATTGAATAACTCACGTAGACAAGGTGTGATGTCTGGCTCTTTGACTGTTACTATCCAGGGCGTAAAGACTATATTTTCAATATAAGTTACTGATCCGTGAAGTGAGTGAGTGTGGTTTTACACCGCTTTAGCAATATTCCAGCAATATCACGGCGGGGGACACCAGAAATGGGCTTCACACATTGTACCCATGTGAGGAATCAAAGTCGGGCTTCGGCGTGACGAGCGAACGCTTTAACCACTAGGCTACCCCACCGTCCCTTACCCATGACGACTTTGAGTGGGAAAAGGAGAAGAAGATTACTTTTATTGTCACATATTGCATACAGTGACAATCTCATTAAAACCAGATCTTAGTTCCCGCGAGAACTGGGATCTGATTTTCAATGAGATTGATACGATGATAGAATACAAAACAGTATATTGCTTTATCCGGTCAATAACGCCTACGATACACTAGTATGATCGTATATGCACAATATTTATTAAAAGTTTTAAAAATACACATGAAAAATACATTTATGAAATACTTAATACAAATATTGCATTGTATACCAATTCCACATACGACCTGTGAAGATCCGGGGTGGAATAGGTCTTCAGCAACCCATGTTGCCGTAAAAGGCGACTACGCTTGTCGTAAGAGGCGACTAACGGGATCGGGAGGTCAGGCTCGCTGACCTAGTTCATGCATGTCATCGTATCCCAATTGTGTGGATCGATGGTCATGGTGTCAATCACTGGATTGTCTGGTCCAGACTCGACTATTTACCAACCGCCGTCATATAGCTGGAATATTGTTGAATGCGGCGTTAAACAACAAAAAACCCAAAACAAAAAACCCATGTATGGATGATGCATTGTGATTCATGTCATTGTAGTGCAAATACTATTCTGTTATAATATCGGTGTTCAAATATTGGCCTTGTTGTAGGTCCAAGATCAGTCATATTGGCCCAAGGCAGGCGGTATTGCTCTCCAGTGCTTCTAAGTGATGCGGGCCGATTTCAGCGTATATTACGGACAGTCAATTAATAAGACCCGGCCATTTGTGGTTATTATGTATTATCAGTGATATGGTTATTGATAATTGATCACCGTTTAAAAGTGCGTCATGTGTTGACAACTCTTGTTCGAAGTCTGGCAGTAGTTGGGCTATCAGATTCTCGAGGCAAGGGAGTTAACTGGCTATAAAACGTTTATGGGGTAGTCTCGGAAGTACCGTTCCCATGTCAATGAAACAGTTTCAAAGACTGCGCAAACATTTGTCGTTATTTACACATAATATATATTATTAGTCGAGTGGTTTCGTATCGTAAATATTATATGTTCGGAATAAAAATATTGTATTATGCGAGTCTTTGGCGAGGGTAATAAATATTGTTTATTGGTAATATATTACATATATTTACGATACGGAAGCATACGAGGGCAATACTCACTTTATCATATTATGCTATTCTTAAAAAAATCAAAGTTTAAGACATATTGCTATTTACTATAGCAACGTTATATAAAGCCTAAGCGAACCGCGGGCGGTCGGGTAGCCTAGTGGTTAAAGCGTTCGATCGTCACGCCGAAGACCCGGGTTCGATTCCCGACATGGGTACAATGTGTGAAGCCCATTTCAGGTGATATTGCTTGAATATTGCTGAAATCAAACTGAGTGAACCGCCCAAATTATGATAATAGGCTTTTAGCAAGTAAACCCTGCATCTATGTACAGTGCTTACTAAAAATGTAGTTCCGACAAGGTGACCTCATTTTCATATTTATGTGTTCGTGATCGTGATACCAAGTTTGATTGGTTTCTCACATCGATAGGGGGTACGGGGAGCCAAGTCGTCTAAGGCGCCGCAATTCGTTGTGCAGTGTTGCGTCCCTTGGGCACGCCAGAAACCTATGATTATGGGTTCGAATCCCGGTTCACCCCGATTATTTTTCTAGGTTTGTCAGCACCATACCCGTGCTCGTAGGTTTCACCGAAGTGGTAAACGCATGAGGCCTGCATCACTTCGGGATTTCCTCTCACATTAAGCTGACACGCTGATATAACTGGAATACCGTAAAGCGGCGTTAAACCCAACTCACTCACTCACTCTCACATCGATAACACGAACCTTTATATGATAAACTCTATTTAGGCCTAGTTACAGATAATGTGATCAACACTTTCTCTTAACCAATGCATCTCAAGTAAATATATATACTGACATGTAGTCGCCCCGGGCGCCTCTAGTCGGTATGCAGAGTTGCGTCCCTTAGCCGTTACTCAGCTGACTGATTTCTGACAATAAGAAAAAAGCAAAACGAATGTAATGATAGTATTTAGCTTTATTCCCACAAAAACGATAGATTAAATGCTATCAATTTGATATATAGACTTTCATCAAAAGTCTAACATGACCGTTAGATTGCCGAATCTAGAAACCGCCGTTCAACCCGGAGGGGGGTCCCTGGTTCATACCGCCGTTCAATCCGGAGGGGAGTCCCTGGTTCATACCGCCGTTCATTCCGGAGGGGAGTCCCTGGTTCATACCGCCGTTCATTCCGGTGGGGAGTCCCTGGTTCATACCGCCGTTCATTCCGGAGGGGAGTCCCTGGTTCATACCGCCGTTTATTCCGGAGGGGAGTCCCTGGTTCATACCGCCGTTCATTCCGGTGGGGAGTCCCTGGTTCATACCGCCGTTCATTCCGGTGGGGAGTCCCTGGTTCATACCGCCGTTCATTCCGGTGGGGAGTCCCTGGTTCATACCGCCGTTCATTCCGGAGGGGAGTCCCTGGTTCATACCGCCGTTCATTCCGGAGGGGAGTCCCTGGTTCATACCGCCGTTCATTCCGGAGGGGAGTCCCTGGTTCATACCGCCGTTCATTCCGGAGGGGAGCCTCTGGTTCATACCTGCTTGAGGTCCTTGGTTCAAACTTAGCCCACCTGCAGTGTTCATGTTACCGTCGATTGTTGAGGTCCTTCCAACATCGGTATTAAAGACACCTCCCATCCCTCCGGGCATCCTCTGGCCGAAACCGCCTCCCAAACCGTTGTTGCTACCTGGGTTCTGCATGCCTAGAAGTCCCTGGCCGAAGAGCTGGTTCTGGGCGGTGAATGGTGTGGTGGCAGGCTGACTGTCGAAGCCGATCTTGCAGCACAGAGGGATGACGTCCCTGCAGGTAGACCCAAAGATCTGGTGAGAGGGACACAGAGCCAGTCCACGGCCGGTCAGCTCCTCGAAGGCCAGGTTCTCCACGGTCTCAGAGGTGGTGGCGGTCTGTCCCTGGTTGATGGTGACGGGGATGCCCACGATGCCGCGGGGAGTACGGGACTGGCTCCACCAGGTACGGTCGGTCAGGATGTCGCCGAGAGCACGGCTGGAACACACCTCCTCGGTGCGGGAGAATTCAGTGACGACCAACTGGAACTGACCTTGGAGAGTTGCAGCTTGGTTGGAGGAGATGCGAGCAGTGAGACGCAAGGCGTTGCCAAATCGGTTTCCAAACCACGGGTTGTTGTTGCTGCTGCTGAAGGTGACTCTCATCTCGTCCCCATTTGAGTTCTTGGCGATGCAGGTCTGATACTGGTTAGGTTCCTGTTGGAACAAGCCTCCCATTCCTAAACCAGCAGGTGACTCTTGTCCCCATCCTCCTCCTTGTCCCATGCCTCCCATTCCTAAACCAGCAGGTGACGCTTGTCCCCATCCTCCTCCTTGTCCCATGCCCAAAGCACCGCCCCATCCTCCAAACTGACTTTGGCCTTGACCCAGACCTTGACCAAATCCTTGACCTTGACCCTGGCCCATGTTCCACGCACCGCTGTTCCATCCTCCTAACTGACCCTGTCCTTGGCGGAGACCTTGACCTTGGTTTGTGCCCCACGCACTTGTGCCTAATTCTCCCATCTGACCTTGACCTTGACCAAGACCTTGACCAAGACCTTGACCCTGACTCTGATCCATGCCCGACCACTGAGCGAATACCTGTTGAGAGGCGAGGCCTATCACCACACACAGAGCGACGACGATTTGATGGACCATGGTGACTCAAGACTGACTGACCAAGTGTTTGTGACCGGACACCGGCGGGTCTCGGGTTATATGTCTGTCCAGATGGAGGTGTGGGAAAGTCCCCCAGCAGCCTATCGCCCGGGGGGTCGTCGTTCTTCTTCCCAGTTCAAGGAGCGTCCGTGGTAACAAACGAAGCAAGGACCATAAACTTTGTCCTTATCGTAATAGGGTGTGATGTTAGGTGGCGTCCGAATTGGAGATTTTTCAACTGTCTGTTGAGGTTGAAAATATATTACTAGAATTCGCAAAAGAAAGGAAGCCAAAACCTGATATAAGAGAACTACATTTGGTTTTCGGGGAGGGGATCCGCTTATTGGATTTATTCACTACTCTTTGCTTAAAAAAAGAAAACAAGTGGACTGTGATGTAACTTTACCTACTTTTATTGTCGACATTTATTATCAAGTGACATATTGTCAGTTTTCATTTATTGTTTGAAAGTGTCAAAATGTGTGTGATGAGTAGAAACGTATATTCTTAGACTCCCAGATGAGAATACTAAGCGTAAACTCGGTTATAGAACACCGTTTAAATTTATCAACGAACATACCTCTTTTTAATGCTCACTGATACACGTAATCTGCATCTGGGAAATATTTTTAATAATGTCGCTGTACCATGGTGGTATCGGTTGTAAAGAACATTTGAACTAATTTTTCTTTTTATTATTTTTTCCTTATACGATACCGTTTGTCTAGTACGACGTTATTGGTATATTATATTAGTTACTAGTTAGAATAAACAGTATGCTGTATGCTTTGGCATGGTCTATTTCACTTCCAAAACAACTCTCTTTCAGAATTGAGTAGGATAGCCTAGTGGTTAAAGCGTTCGCTCAAGCCAAAGGCCCGGGGTTCTGTTTCCTACATGGGTACAATGTATGAAACCCATTTCTGGTGTCCTCCACCTAGATATTGGTGGAATATTGCTAAAAGCGGCGTAAAACAATACTGACTCAGTTACTCATTACTCACTCAGAAATGAGTAAGTGAATGTTGTTTTACGCCACAGACAGAATATTCCAGCTATGTCACGGCGGCCTGCAATTTCGAGTCAGGAAGACCAATGACAGGTAGCAAGAACAATGACATACGTCATCTAAGTATAATGATAATCATTCCACTCGGGGGCAGACTGTAACAACCCGAACCCGATCCACATTGGACCTGGATCATCGTTAGTGTTATCTATTCCTACATCGTCAGTGTCATCTGCCACTGCATCGTTAGTGTTATCTACCACTGCATCGTTAGTGTTATCTACCACTGCATCGTTAGTGTCATCTACCACTGCATCGTTAGTGTCATCTACTACTGCATCGTCAGTGTCATCTACCACTGCATCGTTAGTGTTATCTATTCCTACATCGTCAGTGTCATCTACCACTGCATCGTTAGTGTCATCTACCACTGCATCGTTAATGTTATCTATTCCTACATCGTCAGTGTCATCTACCACTGCATCGTTAGTGTCATCTACCACTGCATCGTTAGTGTTATCTACCACTGCATCGTTAGTGTCATCTACCACTGAATCGTAAATGTTATCTATTCCTACATCGTCAGTGTCATCTACCACTGCATCGTTAGTGTTATCTACCACTGCATCGTTAGTGTTATCTATTCCTACATCGTCAGTGTCATCTACCACTGCATCGTTAGTGTCATCTACCACTGCATCGTTAGTGTTATCTACTCCTACATCGTCAGTGTTATCTACCACTCCATCGTCAGTGTTATCTACCTCTGCATCGTCCTAGTTATCTACTCCTACATCGTCAGTGTCATCTACCACTGCATCGTTAGTGTTATCTACCACTGCATCGTTAGTGTTATCTATTCCTACATCGTCAGTGTTATCTACCACTGCATCGTCAGTGTCATCTACCACTTCATCGTCAGTGTTATCTACTCCTACATCGTCAGTGTTATCTACCACTGCATCGTCAGTGTCATCTACCACTTCATCGTCAGTGTTATCTACCTCTACATCGTCCTAGTTATCTACTCCTACATCGTCAGTGTTATCTACTCCTACATCGTCAGTGTTATCTACTCCTACATCGTCAGTGTTATCTACTCCTACATCGTCAGTGTTATCTACCACTGCATCGTCCTAGTTATCTACTCCTACATCGTCAGTGTTATCTACTCCTACATCGTCAGTGTCATATCTACCTCTACATCATCAGTGTTATGTACTCCTACGTCGTCAGTATCATCTACCTCCTGATCGTCAGTGTTATCTACCACTACCAAAATAAATAAAAAATGAATACGGCGAAACTGGACCACCTGCTGGCGACCCCATCAATTCACCAAAAAGATTGGAAGTGGCTGTTTTGTGTAATACAAGAAGTTGCGTTGTAAATCATTTTACGTTTGTTTGTTCGTTTGTTGTTTAACACCGCACTCAACCCCATTCCAGCTATATGACGACGGTCTGTAAATAATCGAATCTGGATAGGACAATCCAGTGATTGACATCATGAGCATCGGTCTACGCATTTGGGATGCAATATCAATGTGACCAATATTTGAATTGTATATAATACCGAATCCTAACCCTTCCAGAACTTTTATCTGTATCTTTTTAGATTAAGTCGAACGCCCTTTCAAAGTCTATAAGTTATGACATACCCGGCTTTTCGTTCTCTTTTGTCTCAAAGGTAAAATCACATACATTTCATCACTAATACATCTACCTGGAATATAGCAAATCTACCATAAACTAAAATATCTCAAACAATCTTAATTTGATCAACCTTTATTTTCTAAAATTCTGAGGTATTTAAACATTGCATTCAGTGTGCTAATGTAAAACTATATATTAAAAACCCCTCTTCTTTATTGGGCCTGTTATCAGTGAAATACGGTAACCTCTACAATCTCATTAAAATCAGACCTTAGTTCTCGCTACCGCTAAACAAAGATCTGAAGACATCCCATTAGGGGTCACGTCAGACTGACCTTTCATCCAACCAATCAGTGCGTCGCTTTCCAGATTATGAAAGTGACAGTCGGAATGTGATTTCTAATCATACAACCTCGAAAACTTTAACATGGGGTATACCGAACGATAGTTACGGGTTTAACGACTGATTCCTTACAATCTAGACCATCGATCTATTAGCTATTCCAGAATGTTTTTTGTTCAGGTTTCAAAATTTTAATCGGAATTTGTCAAAATATGTTTCGAAGCGAAGTCGCCAATTTGTAATTAGTGCCGTAAAGCACGAGAAAGCTGCCTTCTGATTTGTCATTACATTGGTCGGTCAAAGTTCGCACAAGGTCGGTCTGACGTGACCCGTAATGGGATGTCCTCAGATCTTTGTTCAGCGGTAGCGAAAACTAAGATCTGATTTTAATGAGATTGTTACCTCTACAAAGTCATAATATAAGACATAACTATATTAACAGGAATTGGGAAATTTTTACTTCCGATTTGAGAATTTTGATGGACATTTGCTGCAGACTGAATAAGAACCTCTGAACCGCTCTAGATAACCCTTGTTGCAGCCAGTAAATATATGAGTATGTTTAATGCTGCTGTCAGAAATATTTCATCAACATTGCAGTATCCAGTCAATAATAAATCCTGGATCATGAAACCTGTTTTGTTTTGTATGTTTGTTTGTTGTTTAACGGGGGGTTGGGTGGGTGGGTGGGTGGGATGTGGGTTTGGGGGGGTGGGGGGGTGGGGAGATGATCCAGGTCCAATGTGTATCGGGTGATTACAGTCTGCCCCCGAGTGGAATGATTATACTTAGATGACGTATGTCATTGTTCTTGCTACCTGTCATTGGTCTTCCTGACTCGAAACCATATTCACTCACTCACCTCCATTGTAATATGTAAGTTGTTGTTATTGAAGGATTTAGTCATGTATTTGTGGACCCACATCCAACAATCTTTTCAAAAATCTTCCCAAAGATTAACCTGGAATGCCAATGATGTCAGACATTCTTTTCTAATGTCTTTTATTGCCTTGGATAATTCTTTCACACATATTGTCCGTTCTAGATGTTTATATTGTTGAGGATTTGAGATTGGAGCAATTATTCTGTGTAAAAAGTCCTTAATATCGATTGTTCTTGTTGTTTGCGAAGAGGGCAATAACAAAATGACGTCATATGAATGTATTGTAGCAAGGTGACGCCATTGCATGTGACGTCATGCATTGTTCATTACATCACGGATTCAGCTGATGATTCCACTTGGGCTAAGGAAAGCCACTTTTGTCTACATTTAATAAATAGTCTATAGGTAACATAAAGAATAACCTACTCGCAACAGGGCCGGTCGGGTAGCCTAGTGGTTAAAGCGTTCGCTCGTCACGCCGAAGACCCGGGTTCGATTCCCGACATGAGTACAATGTCTGGAGCCCATTCTGGTTTTCCTCGGCGTGATATTGCTGGAATATTGCTAAAAGCGGCGTAAAACCTCACTCACTCACCTACTCGCAACAACGATTTACGGATTTCTGAACCACTTGAATTAAAGTAAGAAGACGGAAATTACAAAATGTATTAACTCAGGACAGATAATCCGAAATTCCTCGTATGTTTTCTAAAAATTTCTGAAGAGGAATAAGCGAGTTTGCCAGTCTTGATGCAGTGATAGTTAAGCTACAAGAGATACAGCCTAAAGGCTTCACAGTGGCAATCGGCTGGTAATTAGGTTCTGACGTCACGCTGTTGTAGGAGGAAGACCCACACCTAGGACAGATTTATGACCCCGCACCTCGACAGCCGTGGATATAACCCGAGTCTGATCAGTGGTCAGCCATTCTCACTCGGTCAGTCAGTCCAGAATAACCATGGTCCATCAACTCGTCGTCGCTGTGTGTGTGGTGTTGGGGCTAGCCTCTCACCAGGTGTGTGCTCAGTGGTGGGGCATGGGTCAAGGTCAGGGTCAAGGTCAGGGTATGGGTCAACTTGGAGGATTAGGTGGCGGTGCGCTTGGCATGGGACAAGGTCAAGGTCAAG